AAGTGTCCATAACTCCTTCTGGTGATGTTGGGTGAATTTTCATTTTTGAAATCTGAAGATGTGGACAAATTGCTCAGAGAAGTGTGGCTCACGTCCTATCTGCTCCAGCCATGCCCCTTTGGCACATTACATCAAGTAGGTAGAGACTGTCCATCTGCCTTTAGGAGCTGGTAAGTGTCTCCTTGAGGGAAGAAACAGTCCCATCTGCATTAATAGAGGCAGCAAGTTGACTTGCTTGGTGAAATCTACCCTGAACCCAGAAGATCTTAATAATTCAGTCATTTGCTAACATGACAGGCAAATTTCCTGAAAAATTGGTACAACAAAGCATGGAAAAGAGCACTTGTGAAAAAAATTAATAATAAAATAAAACTGGCACAAGGTTTGAAGCACACAAAAGGGACACAGGTGGCACTGTGAGTTAAACCACAGAGCCTAGGGCTTGCCGTTCAGAAGGTCGGCAGTTCAAATCCCCGCAGTGGGGTGAGCTCCCGTTGCTCGGTCTCTGCTCCTGCCAACCTAGCAGTTCGAAAGCACGTCAAAGTGCAAGTAGATAAATAGGTACTGCTCCGGTGGGAAGGTAAACGGCGTTTCCGTGCGCTGCTCTGGTTCACATGCTGGTCACATGATCCGGAAGCTGTACGCTGGCTCCCTTGGCCAATAAAGCGAGATGAGTGCCGCAACCCCAGAGTTGGCCACAACTAGACCTAATGGTCAGGGGTCCCTTTACCTTGAAGCACACATACTTATTTGTAATGGAATGGTACAGCTTTTAAAAATGAAAATAGAGCACTCCCCTTACATTATAAAATGTTTTAGTTAACTTAAACTATTTGTTGCCTTAAATGAAAATAAGTAGTCTGGGATAAGAACTTATATCAAGCGTTCGCGATTTTGCATGTGTTGCCTAAACACCAGCTTCTGTGATCGGATGTGATATTTCATTTTTTGTCTTTATGATGTGGTTACATGTGAAATAATTTAATGGGGGGGGAATTAAGGGAAAGGATGGAGATGAGTTGCAATAGCACTGATCCTTGTGTAAGCACAACTTAGTCAAATACAGCCCTGCTTCTCAAATTAACCTACCTCGTAATGTTGTCTGCCATCCTAAACTCCTTGGTGTGAAGTGTGGGAATTCTAATCTGAAAAGCCATAATAGCAAACATGGAATACTGTGTGCAGACAATTTGTGACGTCTGGTATGTTGGTGACTTTTCAGTGGGTGTTCTTGTCAGTGTCACCCCCGAGAGATCTACATTGGCATCTCTGGTCATCTGACATTCGGATTACCTGAGCTCTGCATTTCCTAATTCATATAGAGTTAGATCTGTTTGTTGTTTGTTTTCCCCTGGCCCTCAGCTATCAAAGGTTATCGCCCCAGCTGCTCTGCACTTACATAATGCCCAGCAGAACGCTGCTCCGCTCTCTCTGATTATGGATTAGTGTAATAATAATTGTGCATGCAAGACTGTAACAGCTGTGTGCTTTCCAGGGCTAGCAGAGATTTCCTGGCTTGTTTTAAAACTACCTAGCAAAGCCGTGTAATCTGCCAGCTCCTCACAAACTGCCACCCCATCACAGCAGTCCAGCAACTTAAAGGGGAAGAACATTCATCCAGTATCTACACCCCCTGTAGCAGGACACCTTGAGCAGAATGATATATCTGCAGACCCTCCAAGTGCCCCTGTTTTCCAGGGACAGCCCTGGATTTATAGAAGCTGCCCCGGTTTCTGATTTGATCCCAGAATGTCCCGCTTTTCCTTAGGACGTCCCTATTTTCATTTGAGAAATGTTGGAGGGTGTGGAGTTATCCAACCCCTGAGCCATCTGAAGGCAGCTTTGTATAGGGAAGGTTTCAGATGTTTAATGTTGTATTGTATTTTCATATATGCTGGAAGCCACCCAGAATGGCTGGGGCAACCCAGTCAGATGGCCAAGGTATAAATATCATTGTTGTTGTTGTTCCTGCTGCTGCTGAATAGGATGCCCCTATTTTCATCAGAGAAATGTTGGAGGGTATGCATCTGCCCCAAACATAACCTGGTCAGGGGTACAAAATGAGACTTGAATGTCACACTCAATATTAAATCAGAGGTAGGCAATATGATGCCCTCTGGATGTTGTGTAGACAACTACTGCCTCTGTCCTTGTCAGTATGGCCAACAGCCTAGGATGGTAGGAGTTGAAGTCTGTTGCATCTGGAGGCATTGTGGCTGTTAAATTAGGTGATGCTTTCTTCTGAGCTTGGAACAATCATATGTTTTCACTGATATATCTACTGCATACGACATAGCGGTAAATATATCAGCTTGTGGGAACAGCCTGATGAGCGACCTTTACCCCAGGTTGCTGTCATTGTTCTACTTGCGGCAGCTGCATGCACACTCTCCAGGTGGAGTCGCCATGTATGAGGCCTCCAAATGAATGATAACCAGATGTGGTTCCAGCATGCTTACTTACATGACCACGAGCACATAGCCCAGAGGAAGCCAACGGGGCGGCCTCCAGATATTTTGGACTACAGCTCCTAACAGCCCCAGCCAGTCAGGATTTAGGCATGATGGTAATTCTAGTCCACAACATCGGATGGGGGTATAACAAGATGTTGGCTGCCCCTTCCATAGCTCTTGCATGCTTCTAATGCAACACTGATGCTGAGATGCCACTTGTGAGAAGCAGAGCCTCCGCACATGAGATTGCCATAGATCCCATGACCTTGCCAACCATGCATAGAGCTGGTCCTCACAAATGCTAGATTGCTTCCTGGCTGCAACCTCCAAATGCCCCTAAGGGCTCTTACAACATGAATTGGTGCCTGGAGACTCAATAAGTTAAGTGACTTTCAGGGGGAGGGAAACATTGGGTCTGTGGTCTTATGAATTGTGATGATGGTGCAAGTTCTGGACTGTAGCTATTTGATCCACGAGGACTCGTGTTGTTGTTTTTTTGCAACTGCAATAATAGCCACACCTAGCATTTCTACCTTGTGTTTTAAGTGTCCCTTCCGCAAAGTAGGCCAGTGTTTACAACCCTCCATATTGCAGATGATGTGGCTGAGGCTGAAGCATAAGCCCTTACCAGCCATGAGTACGTGTAGGAATTAATTACAGTATACCACATTGCAGTGCAATGGTATAGTTAGGTGATTCCAGACTCCAGGCTTAGGCTCTGGGAATTGCAGCTCTGTGAAGGGAACAGGGGTTTCCCAACAACTCTCAGCACCTTTAACCAACCACACTTCCCAGGATTCAGTGGGAGAAGTCATGACTATTTAAAGTGGTATGATACTGCTGTAAATGTATCATGCAGATGAGGCCTTTAATAGTCTTACAGCGCCCCACCTCTTTAGACAGAAATACAGTGGTACCTTGGGTTACAGATGCTTCAGGTTACAGACTCCGCTAACCCAGAACTTTAAGAACTTTACCTCAGGATGAGAACAGAAATTGCATGGTGGCAGCACGGCGGCAGCGGGAGGCCCCATTAGCTAAAGTGGTACCTCAGGTTAAGAACAGTTTCAGGTTAAGAACGGACCTCCGGAATGAATTAAGTTCTTAACCCGAGGTACCACTGTATGTTTTTCTCCACTTGCAAATAAAAATGTGGTGAGCCACCCTTGAGGCATTTGGGCTCTAAGCCTACTCATTCTCCTAAGTAAGTGCCTGCTCCAAAGTCCTACCCTGATGGCATCACTGTTGCGGTGACGGGCTCTGCCCCTACACCCACCCACCATGTTCTCCGTGTTAGTTTTATCGAAACAATTCTACAAGCGGACACCTGTCTATTCATAGGCACTCCTCTGTGCATTCCTGCCTAGACTCTCTTTTCGGACACTGGGCTTATTCATATGGCACAAGCTGTCTCTACTGCACATGTACAAGTGCTTCTGTGGAAAGGTGTACACCTTCTGATTTATACACAGAGTGTAAACCGATACCATACTCTCCAACATTTCTCTGATGAAAATAGGGATGTCCCATTCCATAATGATAATTTTACCATTTATACCCCACAGATCTTATTGGGTTGCCTCTGCACAGCTTCCAACATATATAAAAACATAATAAAACATTTAAAAAAAACCTTCCCTATATAGGGTTGCCTTCAGACAGCTTAGGGGGGCACATAACTCCATACCCTTCAACATTTCTCCAATGGAAATTGGAACGTACTAGGGAAAAGTGGGACATTCCGGGATCAAATCAGAAACCAAGACAGCTGCTGTAAATCTGGAACTGGAAAATCTGGAAAATAGGGACACTTGGAGGGCCTGAGAGACCGTATGTTCATTGAAGGTCACATATGAATAACTGTAGAATGTACCACTTGTGTATGGGTTGTATATGGAATGTGGACCTCCCTACGGAGATGAACCATGAGGGACACCATCTACAACATCAAACCCCTCACCTATAAACATTCATTTGTATGCATAGTTTCTGGAAACAGATGCAGCCTAAAGCCATTCATTGAGTTTGTCATGGGAGTGACCTTTGAATGAGAGACTTCCTGCTCTGAGCCGCTATACCAACTGAGCTCTCATGAAACTCATCCAGCCAGGGTCTTATTGGCGGGAACAGGACCAAATATTAACAATATGATAAAAACGGCACCAACATAACAAATGAAAAATAGATGCCCCCACAGAGGTGCTGGGTCCATGGCTGCCACCTTTTAAAACAGCCACTCAGTATGCAGAAATTAAGCAGGTGTAGGGAATTGTACAAATATTTGGCAAAATAGCCAAAGCCATTACAACAAATAAAATACACAAAGCAGAATGAAATCAGAAATGGGACGGGCAGAAATGGAAGCAGGTGTAGCTTTTCTCCATCCCTCAATCTCCCTGTTGGGAAAAGCTACCCTTGCTTCCATTTCTGCCTGCCACATCTGCATCAGCAAGGAAACTGAGCCAGCGCTAAAGTTGGCAACCTAGTTTGAGCCACACACTGCCCACCATATCTCCGCAGCCAAAATGAAACACCGGGGAGTTTTAAAAGGTAGATTCCTGAGTCAGATCAACACTGCAGCACTGCACAAGTCTCCGAGCCGTACTTGGGAACTGCCTTCTGCACTATGCAGCCAGTCTCTGCTGTGCAGTCCTCTCTCTCTCTCTCTCTCTCTCTCATTCACACATCACACACACACACACACTTTTGTGAAATGTGAGGAGTCACCTGATGTCCGTCAATGTTGTCTCCTCTTAAAGAGCAGGCAGTAAAACTCTTCCTTCTATGGAAGATTATTCCCTCCCTCTCTCAAAGGATGGCACGTTAATTTAAAACCATCGTCTGTGTATGGCTGCAGCTTGGGGTGCTAAACTGAACTACTTATTGCAGCACTGAAGATCTGAGGGACTTATTCACCTCCCCATCATCTTTTTCTTTCTTTCTCCAAAGCTCATTCCTTTCCTCTCTTGGAGGAGAGAGCATCTGTGCTCGTCAGACAATGCTTTCTCAGAAATGCTTGGGGTTTCTTTATTTCACTTTCTATCTGTGGGCAAACGTGTTATTCATCCTCCTTCAAGGTAAGTTGCTTTTATCTTGTGTCTCCCTCCTCACCCCCCAGCCTGCCCTATATTTCTCTTTAGACATTTATAATGCTGGTGTTTAATCCTTTTGAATCCAGCTCAAAAGAAAAGATTGTTGTATGCGTGCTTTTTATTATTTGGAATGCAAGGTAGGTGACCCAAATACTTGGTTAAAGAGGAAGCTGTATTTATGAATGCAAAGTATGAGGTTTCTATATTCTATAATCTAGTTTAATTGAAGTGGGGGAGATGTATCTATCTGGAAATAAGTTTGTCTATTTGTTATTTATTGTTACCTTTCTACCCCCATCTTTTCTTCAACATGGGGTACACACTCTTTTATCTTCACAACAACCCTGTGAGGGTTAGGCAGAGATCCTGTAGCAAAACCAAACAAGTGGCTATTTCAAAAGACGAAGTGGTTTTGTTTTGCGAGGGATTCCTGGCCTCTGTTTCTTCCACACAGACTGAACATAGGAATCTAATCATTTGTTCATTTAGTTTAGTATTGCTAGCACTGGCTGGCAACAGCTCTCAGGGTTTCACTCAGGGGACATTGCCGGAAGATGCTAGGGGTTGAACCCTGACCTTCTACACACAAATCAGATGTTCCAACCACTAAGCTGCTGCTGGAGAGGTGCAAGCCTATGCACACCTCCTTGAGAGTAAACCCTATTAAACTCAGCAGAACTTACCTTTGTGCAAGGCTGTGTAGCATCTGGCTGCAAATGGCACTTTGTGGATTGGGGCCACCTGGCAAGAGAAAAGGGAGGACAAGGACCAAGGAAAAAAAACCAGACGGATTCTCATACCAAAGTGCTACAGTTTCTTCACAAACTGTTGTCGAGTCATGCTTGCCAAAACATGCAAGGCCCTCTTTTTGAGGCTGAATTTAAGAGGAAGATCAATGCCGTTCTCACAGTTAGGGTGGCCCGATCTTGCTTCTCTGCCTTTAACAAAAACAGTGATGTGCACAAAAATTATCCTGGCGAACCTGGCAATGAAATGGGTAATGGAAAAGACTCTGCCTGCTTAATTTGATCAAGTCGGGCTGCTGTTGAAAACTTAGGAGCAAGACTGGGTTTTTTTTAAAAGCAACACTGAAATGTCAGCAAACCCACTTACAACTCATGCTTGTTAGTCAGCAATTCCCAAACCCTTTTTTTTTTCTACAGAGGCTGAGACTCAAGAAGTTGAGTTGTCAGCTTTCCCACCACCCTCTCAAAAATGTTTATTTGCCTTTAACAGCAGCTTCTTCTCCTCCAGACTATACCTCGGGTTACGAACGCTGTGGGTTGCCCGTTTTCGGGTTGTGGACCGTGCCAAACCTGGAAGTAACCCGTTCTGGTACAGAACGGGTTACTTCCAGGTTTCGGTGCTTGTGCATGCGCAGAAGCACAAAATGGCATCATGCGCATGCGCAGAAGCGCCGACTCGCATCACACTCGTGTGCAGACACAGCGCTTCAGGCTGTGAACGCTGCGGGTTGCGAACGTGCCTCCCGCACGGATCACGTTCGTAACCCGAGGTATGACTGTACTTGCCAATTGACCCCCAAAATGTCTGGCCTGCTCCTGTGTCTTCCAAAGTACCATAATGTACAGAAACCAGCAGGTGAAGCTTTTCTCAGCATGGAGATAGGCATTAACCCTTTTCAGATATGGTATTAACATGCTGAGGGGCAGTGAGGCAGCATTATATGGGCACCTAACTTCAATTCATACAGTTATAGGGGCAGAAGCACTTTCATACCTTCTAAGGACTTACACAGAGGCCAGATACAAGCATCCTTACTCTCCCTCGCCATGCATTCATATAACATCTGAATAAAGTTAGTCTCACTTGCTAATATGATGATAGCTGCCTCTTGGGGGTTTTTTTCCCTAAATGGAAAGGTGGGGTGGGTGTTTCCCAAATAAATAATGTTACAAAAGTTGGGTGCCTCCCCCTCTCTCTCTGCCAAGTGGTGGCAAGAGCCCATGAGGTTCCCGGCCCAGGATGTGTGTCCTTTGGAAAACTGAGACATGGCGGAGACTGCCGTAGCTTTAAGAAATATGGTTTATTCGCCAATTTGCACCTTCAGTCTGCATGGAGGGAGTCCGGATCTTACAGCATGGTCATTTCAAGAGGGACTTGTGGCCTTCAGCCAGCCTGCCCAAGATGGATCCCAGAACTTCCTTCCTCCTTCTTCTTCCCAACAACTCTTGCTCAAGACTCTCTTTTCCTGTCACCTCACACCCAGTTACCTTGGCAACCTTCCAAACCCCCAGTCTCTGCTCACACTTCATGGCAAAGGGGAAAGGCAGTTCTCTTGCACTGCCAATGGCTCTCAATAGCCCTTTCTTAATGGCCCTAGCTTGACCAAGTCATTTTGCACAGGCTAGCCCAGTAATTCCTCTGCAGCTTGTATTTCTCCCTTCACATCCCAAATGGTCAATAAATAATATTCCTGATAAAAGCACAGGAGCCAGTGCCAGTAGAGCAGATGGCTCTCCCATTTGCAAGTGAAGGAGGTGTTCCTTCAGTTACACAGGCCTTGAGGCATGTAGGGCTTTAAGGATAAGGCTGGATCGATGTGCGCTCCCAGACTGACACTGATCCATGAGAAGGAGTGCAAACCTATCCAGGACAGGTTGCCTACCATCGCTCCAAACAAACGAAACCACCCAATATGAAACATCATCGGATGATACCGCTTCTGAGCAATCCATAGGCATGTGTGAACCGCGGGCAGTGCCGGATTTACGTATAAGCTAAACAAGCTATAGCTTAGGGCCCCACTCTCTTGGGAGCCCCCAAAAAACTTAAAGGAAAAAAACTGGATGTACATTCCCAAAATACAGTATAAGATAAAAAACAAATAAAATAAAACCTACATGCAGCAACAGTGTTTTGTGTTGTGTAGGCTCCTATGATGTAAATAATGGGCCGCACCTGCTAGCCTGCTCCCTAAAATATCACTGGTTTGCTCATTTCCATATCAATTACTTTTTGTTATGTGCAAATGGCTTTAGATACCTATTACGTCCATAAATTACTATATAGCATATATTCAACACAAAAACAGCAACAATTTCTTGTTGGCAAAGGACAGCTGGACATATAAAGGGCCCCATTACCTTCAGTAGCTTAAAAGTAATGGGACCGCTGACCATTAGGTCCAGTCATGGCCGACTCTGGGGTTGCAGCGCTCATCTCGCTTTATTGGCTGAGGGAGCCGGCGTACAGCTTCCAGGTCATGTGGCCAGCATGACTAAGCCGCTTCTGGCGAAACCAGAGGAGTGCACGGAAACACCGTTTACCTTCCCGCCAGAGTGGTACCTATTTACTGTATCTACTTGCACTTTGACGTGCTTTCGAATTGCTAGGTTGGCAGGAGCAGGGACCAAGCAACGGGAGCTCACCCCGTCGTGGGGATTCGAACCGCCGACCTTCTGATCGGCAAGCCCTAGGCTCTGTGGTTTAACCCACAGCACCACCCGCATCCCACAATAGCTTAGGGCCTCATCAAACCTAAATCCGGCCCTGACCCCAGGCCACAGTTTAGCCAACCATGCCCATTGTGTTGCCAGTGTTATCGATCGTCATACTGCCACACGTATGAATCCTTGGCCAGCTCTATTGCCGTGCATCCAGTTGTGTTTGTATGTGAGAGACAGGTGCTCGTCAGAACCAAATCTCTCTGCTGCAGAATAATTCGGTGGCTTATCAGGCATTAATTCAGCATGCAGCAGTTGGTATTGTGATGTGATTAAAACCTTTAAAAGGTATGAATGAATATTCAAATGTCTGGAGGCTTATCTTTTATTATTATTCCATTTTCTTGCCCCGTGTTCAGTGACTTCTTCCTTCTGCTATTTCCTTTTCGTCCCTAGATGGCTTGGCATGCAAATCTGAAGAAAGGCTGTTTCACAAACTCTTCTCCCATTACAACCAGTACATCAGACCTGTGGAAAACGTGTCGGATCCAGTTACAGTGTATTTTGAAGTGGCAATTACACAGCTTGCAAATGTGGTAAGGCTAACTGTGCAGTGCCAGCCAGATAGTGAGGTGCTGTGCAATCCAAACCTCCTGGTCATAGAAGACGCACCCTTACTTTTGAACTCAAAACCACTTTTTCAGTAATGGAAGTCTAGGTTTGGGTGGATCTAGATGTCAGTTCACTCCCTGGGAGCTGATGCATCCACTCGCCCCTTACGTCTCTGTCATTGTGTACAAGTCCGGCCTTGTCGCTTTCCAATCAGCTGAGAGCCGGCAATCCTGCTGCGTCTCGGTATCGTGTCTGATTGGCTCATTCAGTCACTTCATTGTGGAGACATTGTGTCTCTGTATGAGTCAATGTCTTGGCCTTCCTTCCAATAACTCTAGCTTAGTGGTATATGGGGTGTTAGAGGAGGAGGAGTACCTCTGGGGGGGACACAATGTGAGAGCCAGTGTGGTGTAGTGGTTAGAAGTGGTGGACTCGTAATCTGGTGAACTGGGTTCGCGTCTCCGCTCCTCCACATGCAGCTGCTGGGTGACCTTGGGCTAGTCACACTTCTTTGAAATCTCTCAGCCTCACTCACCTCACAGAGTGTTTGTTGTGGGGGAGGAAGGGAAAGGAGAATGTTAGCCGCTTTGAGACTCCTGAAGGGGAGTGAAAGGCAGGATATCAAGTCCAAACTCTTCTCTCCTGGGCTGTTGTTCTGCCTGCAGTCAGGAGGGCCCATGGAAGCCTCTGAGATTGCTTCACATACCCCCATCTGCACCCTAAGGGAGTGTGTGAAGCAGCCCCATGACACAACTGTAGGAGTAAATCATTTGCCCTCTTCTGTCTCTAGGATGAAGTCAATCAGATTATGGAAACCAATCTATGGCTGCGACATGTAAGTGGATATTTGTGCACTAGGGTGTATTTCACAATAGCATTGGGCTTCAAAGTTCTGGTTGGGATGGCTCCAAAACAGTTCCTGGGATAAGGAAGCAGGAATCTATTGTGAGGGTAGATCTTGAGAGCCAGTGTGGTGTAGTGGTTAAGAGCGGTAGTCTTGTAATCTGGGGAACCGGGTTCGCGTCTCCGCTCCTCCACATGCAGCTGCTGGGTGACCTTGGGCCAGTCACACTTCTTTGAAGTCTCTCAGCCCCACGCACCTCACAAAGTGTTTGTTGTGGGGGAGGAAGGGAAAGGAGATTGTTAGCCGCTTTGAGACTCCTGAAGGGGAGTGAAAGGCGGGATATCAAATCCAAACTCTTCTTCCTCTTCTTCTTCTTGTTGTCACAACACCACTCATGGATTACTGTGGTCTTTATTATTATCACTATTATTTTGGTTTATTACCCGTCCTACACCCAAGGGTCCCAGGATGAGTTACAAAAATTTGACATACAGTCTGTGAGCCACCCTGAGTTCTTATGATGAAGGGAGGTATATTAATCTTATAAATTATTATTATTATTATTATTATTATTATTATTATTATTATTATTAACTGGTTTTATTATGTATGGTATATCCTTGTATACCGCATAGACACTATGGTATAAAGTGGTATATAAATTATTAAAATAGAATAAAAATATATGAAGTTATTCTATTCTATCTTCATAACAATAATAATATAATTTATTGTTTACACCCCGCCCATCTGGCTTCCCCAGCCACTTTGGGTGGCTCCCAACAGAATATTAAAAACATGAGAAAACTTCAAACATTAAAAACTTCCCTAAACAGGGTTGCCTTCAGATGTCTTCTAAAAGTCAGATAGTTGTTTATTTCCTTGACATCTGATGGGTGCGCGTTCCACAGGGCGGGCGCCACTGCTGAGAAGGCCCTCTGCCTGGTTGTCTAACACTGTTGTCTAAGGCAACACAGTGACATTCATGTTCAAGTGGTGTTTGAGCAGAAGAAGAGCTTGCTGGATCAGGCCACTGGCTCATCAAGTCTAGCATCTTGTTCTCATGGTGGCCAACCAGATGCCTGTGGGGACACCAAAAGCAGGACCTAAGTGCAGCAGCACTTGGCCCACCTGTGATTCCCGGCAAATGGCATTCAGAGACAGTGGAGGTAGAACATAGCCATCATGCCCAAAATCCAATCTCAAACATAGCCATCATGCCCAAAATCCAATCTCAAACATAGCCATCATGCCCAAAATCCAATCTCAAACATAGCCATCATGCCCAAAATCCAATCTCAAACATAGCCATCATGCCCAAAATCCAACCTCAAACATAGCCATCATGCCCAAAATCCAATCTCAAACATAGCCATCATGCCCAAAATCCAATCTCAAACATAGCCAGCATGCCCAAAATCCAATCTCAAACATAGCCAGCATGCCCAAAATCCAATCTCAAACATAGCCAGCATGCCCAAAATCCAATCTCAAACATAGCCAGCATGCCCAAAATCCAATCTCAAACATAGCCAGCATGCCCAAAATCCAATCTTGCTAAACAAAGAGGCTTTGGGTGAAGGAAAAAATATCAACAAAAGCCCAGAAAATCAAGCTGCAGGTGCAGGGTGAATTTTCTAGGATCCAAAAACTAGTTTTTTCTCTCTTTTAGATTTGGAACGACTACAAACTACGGTGGAATCCAATGGAATACGAAGGGATTGAGTTTATCCGCGTGCCAGCGGATAAAATATGGAAACCTGATATTGTCTTATACAACAAGTATGAACTCTAGTTCCTCATCATTTTACAGCTTTTAAAATATATATATATAATCAAAACCAAACCAAATCCTTCTGTATTAATATTGCATGGTACAACTTAAGACTGCCTTGTGTTTGCATTTCCAGTGCCGTTGGAGATTTCCAGGTCGAAGGGCGGACCAAAGCTCTTCTCAAATATGATGGTACCATCACATGGACGCCACCCGCCATCTTTAAAAGCTCCTGCCCCATGGATATTACCTTCTTCCCCTTCGATCACCAAAACTGCTCCCTGAAATTTGGGTCGTGGACTTACGACAAAGCTAAAATTGACCTTCTAATTGTTGGCTCCAAAGTAGATATGAATGACCTTTGGGAGAATAACGAATGGGAAATAGTTGATGCTTCTGGCTATAAACACGATATCAAGTACAACTGCTGTGAGGAGATCTACACCGACATCACCTACTCGTTTTATATCCGAAGGCTGCCCATGTTCTACACCATTAATCTGATCATCCCCTGCCTGTTCATTTCATTCCTGACTGTATTGGTTTTCTACCTTCCATCGGACTGTGGAGAGAAAGTGACCCTTTGCATCTCTGTCCTACTTTCTTTGACAGTGTTCCTGTTGGTAATCACAGAGACAATCCCCTCTACCTCTCTGGTAATCCCTCTGGTAGGAGAATACCTGCTGTTCACCATGATATTCGTGACTCTCTCTATCGTCGTCACGGTCTTTGTACTGAACATCCACTACAGGACTCCGATGACTCACACAATGCCCAAGTGGGTGAAAACCGTTTTCCTCCGTCTCCTGCCCAAAGTCCTGATGATGAAGAGACCCGTCCAGAAACACATCGAAGCCCAGCCTAAGAAAACCAAGAAAAATGGTGCCGCTAAATCCAGCAAGCCAAAGGCCGATGACCCAGGGGAAGCCAAAGTCTACAGCGAGCACAGATGCTGCCACTGCGACAAACCCAGCGAACCGTCCACGGGTAAGAAAAGGAGACCAAGCCACCAGTCGGCTAAATGGGGGGCTGAGCAAGCAGAATACTCCCCTGAGGTCAAAGAAGTAATTAGCAGTGTCCAGTTCATCGCAGAAAACATGAGGAGTCAGAATGAGACCAAAGAGGTAAGCGTTCTGGTGTCTTGAGAATGAATTTGTATCTGAGAACCAGCAGCTGAGTTATTGAGGTAGGCCTTCCCCAACACAGTACCCTCCAGCTGTTGCTGTAACTATAACTTCCATCATGCTTGACCATCAGCCAGGGTGGCTGTGTCTGATGGGAGTTATAGTCCAACAACAGCCTGGTATTGGTCAAAAGTCCTCAAAAGTCCTCAGTATACCTGAAGGAGTGTCTCCACCCACATCATTCAGCCTGGACATTGAGGTCCAGATCTGAGGGCCTTCTGGTGGTTCCCTCACTGCAACAAATGAGGTTACAGGGAACCATGCAGAGGGCCTTCTCAGTAGTGCCGCCCGCCCTGTGGAACGCCCTCCCTTCAGATGTCAAGGAAATAAAAACTACCTGACTTTTAGAAGACATCTGAAGGCAGCCCTGTTTAGGGAAGTTTTTAATGTCTGGTGTTTTATTGTGTTTTGTGTTTTTAATATTCTGTTGGGAGCCACCCAGATGGGTGGGGTGTAAATAAATTATTATTGTTGTTGTTATCATCATCATCATCAATAAATTTGGTGCATAACACAAGCAATGGCAGAAGGCTCAAGACCTTGGTTGATGCCAGCCCTGGTGCCATGTAAGTTCTCAGGGCGTCAGTAAGGAAAATGGTGAAGGCCTTTTTCCAGGACAAACAGTGACACTCCCTGAAATGAAATGCAGCTCCTTCTGAGCTCTAGTATAACTCTGTAGAACTCCAGAAGAGAGGGGAAGCATTGCTAAATGGGTACATGCCCAGTGGCACTCTGGCGAGCAGGCACCGATGTCAGTGAAAAGAGTAGTTCCTCAGGGGAATGCGGCTTAAGGGGTGCTGTCTCTGGGGATTCTCAATCAGGGGCCCCTGGTCCAAGGGGCACCTGACTGACAGACTCTGGCTTTGCGCTGGGGCCTAGTCCTGAATTTAGAGCACCTCCACAGTTTGCACCAGTGGTGTTCCTGATCCAGGTGATTCTTAGGAACATGGGAAGCTGGCTAATGCCTGTTAGCAGAGGCACTTAAATAAATCTGGTGGAGGCTGTGTACACACACACACACACACAGAGAGAGAGAGAGAGAGAGAGAGAGAGAGAGAGAGAGAGAATCCTGGGAACAATACCAAGTCAGGCCATTGGTCCATCTAGGTCAATATTATCTATGTTGACTGGTAGCAGTTCTCCAAGGGTTCAGATATGAGTCTTTTCCCAGACCTACCTCATAACCTCCAACATTTCTCTGATGAAAATAGGGATGTCCTATTATTATTATTATTATTATTATTATTATTATTATTATTATTATTATTTCCCCACCCATCTGACCGGGTTGCCCCAGACACTCTGGGCAGCTTCCAACATACATAAAGACATAATAAAACATTAACATTACAAAAAACTTCCCTCTACAGAGCTGCCTTCAGATGTCTTCTAAAGGTTGTATAGTTACTTATCTCCTTGGCTCGGGGGGTCGCAGAACTCAATACTGTCCAACATTTCTCCAATGAAAATAGGGACGTCCCAAGGGAAAGCGGGACATTCCAGGATCAAATCAGAAACCAGGATAGCTTCTGTAAATCTGGGACTGTGCCTGGAAAATAAGGACACTTGGAGGGTGTGCTGCTACCTGTTCATGCTGCGGGTAGACCCTGGGGCCTTGTGTAGGTCAAGCAGACGTGCCTTGACTGAACTACAGCCCTTCCCCTTCTTCCTCAGAGTCCTGGCTGTCGCTGATTTCCAGGCTCATGTCATAACAGTAGTCTTCCAGTGTCTAAGAACTGCTGCCGCCATTTATTTTACCTCAGAGCCCTTGCTATAATATGAAGGTGCTTCCATCTCCTACCTTCCCCAGATCCCATCTGTCTTGTGTACTTAGGCTAGAAGCATTTTGGCGTTTGGCGTCTTTCTGAGAACGTGGCAGCACAACGGGGATGTTAATCTCAGTAGGATCCTTGAACAGCTGTTGTAATGTAAATAATGTAATTACTATGGGAGCTGTTGAGGGAAGAAAGCTCCCTACGGTTTCAACAGAAACGAAGACTGCACCTCAGGGAACAAGCCTGTGATTTTATGTGGGCAGCACTGCAATGGTTATGCATACCAGGAAAGCTTTTCCATTTTAGAAAGGAAAAAGCATCTAATGCAAGTGCGAACATGTTCCCTTTTTCCTTCAGCCTTCACCCCTGGGCTCTCTGGTCCTCAGGGCTCTTGTGATCTCCCTAACACAGCCCCCCCCCTCTTCCCACTGAAATAAGGCTTGAAGAAGCATTCTGTTAGTGTCAATAGAACGGGCTGTGTTGTGTGCTTGATTGCAACATGTGTGCTGTACACACAGTAGTCTCTCTCTGGTTTTGCAAACGGGCCACAGGCCCAGAAAGGTTGGCAACCCCTGTTGTAATGTATTGAAGAGGGATCTGTTGAAGAGAGAGAGAGAGAGAATATCCTGGGAACAATACCAAGACAGGCCATTGGTCCATCTAGGACTAGGTCATGGGTAGGCAAACTAAGGCCTGGGGGCCGGATCCAGCCCAGTCGCCTTCTAGATCTGGCCCGTGGACAGTCTGGGAATCAGCGTGTTTTTACAAGAGTAGAAGGTGTCATTTTATTTAAAATGCATCTTTGGGTTATTTGTGGGACATAGGAATTCGTTCATTTTTTTTTCTTTTCAAAATATAGTCCGGCCCCCCACAAGGTCTGATGGACAGTGGACCAGGCCCCTGCTGAAAAGTTTGCTGACCCCTGTCTAGGTCAATATTATCTATGTTGACTGGCAGCAGTTCTCCAAGGCTTCAAATATGAGTCTTTTCCCAGACCTGCCTCATAACCTCCAACATTTCTCTGATGAAAATAGGGACGTCCTATTCCATCATCATCATCATTTTATTATTTATACCCCACCCATCTGACCAGGTTGCCCCAAACACTCTGGATCTGTCCCTTCTGCCACTTCCCTGTTCCATATGGGCATAACTATTAACAAATTATTAAATAGTCTTATTAAATAGTCGCATGACTCTCTGTCAGCCCACCTAATCTTCCAGCACTAGCAGGAGTGAAATTGTCCACTGACTGCATTTGGCAAGCTTGCAACATTTTGCCCTAGTATGTAGTTACCTGCATACTGGGATAATGCCCCTTTGCCAGGCTTGAAGTGGGGGAAAACAGTGCCTTTTTGACATCAGCAACCATTGTACCAATCTCCAGCTTCATCTCATACCTATTTGTATGTCTAGCAATCCACAAACCCAACACTAATGACAGGGGGGAAAGACTGTAGTGTTTAGCAGGTCTAGAAGATGTGCCCATTTCAGGTTTTAGGGGTGCTTGGCAAAGTGTCCTCAGTAAATTCCTTCCTTGGGAGCTCTCCACTTCCTTGGCACTCTTTCCACTGCCCAGTCACTTGCCTCTCCCTCTAGGACCAGTTTGTACCCCTTTGCAGAGGGAAAGGAAAAAGCTTGCAGCAGCTCCTCCTCCTCCTCCTCTATCTTCTCACTGCTTGCTCACTTTGAGCAGGCAGGTGAATAAGCAGAAGCAGCAAGAAAGTGGAGTAGCAGGTCTAGGAAGCTCTGGGATTAAGCAGTCAACCACCGCCAGGAATGGGTTTCAGCAGGTCACTGACATTGCCAATCCCTATACACTAGCCATCCTGGAAGCAAAGGATCAGGTGTGAAGATGGGCACCTAGTGATAAGCAGCAACCAGCAAAACTCCTTCTTATCATTGGGTGGGCATTTTGCTGCTAGTTAAATAACACTGTTTTGTGGGGCCATCTCTGTAAGTAAACAAACGGGAGCAACAGCTTTTAAAAATGGGACTCAGCAATTATGCTAATAGGTTTGCGTATTTAAAGGGATAAATATTTCATGCTAAGCCGGGTATCATTTTCTTTGGCATGAAGACACTGAATATGGACTTAGAAGTTCTACAGAAATGGAGGCCCTCGTCCCAGGGTGGTGGTCAATCAATGTAGCCCTATTGAATTCTGTAGAGCTGTGCTGATGCAAGGGAACAAAGGAGCTGTCTTGAAAGGGAGCCAAAAGACAAACATAGGGTTGAAGTGGAGCTTTGGGGCCAAGCCTGGATTAACCATTATGCTAAGTAAGCTACAGCGTAGGGTCCCAGCCAGTTTGAGGTCTTTGACTGTAGTGGAATTACTGGAAAGCTTCCTAATGCAGGGAAAGGATGGCCATCTTCCATCTTGCTCTTTCCACTGAGCTCTTTGAAGAGTGCACTGTAATAAAACGGAACAGTACTGTACTTCCTGGAAGAGGGAAATTGACATTACTGGTAGCCCTGGGAGCAAGATAACAGGCAGACATTTTATGAGCAAATGGAGGCCTGGGTCCCAAACCTGGACCTTTGAGTGACTTCATCTGTATTCCCAGTTGTCATTACCAAATATGAGTGTGGGTCTGAGTGGACTTAGCAGGAAGCATGAAAGCAGGAGGTTTTAGTCAGCCATATCTCACTCAGTTGTCAAGCTGATGCCACAATAAATTAATTAATCTTGAAGGTCCTGGGGGACTGGTTTTGTGTGCATTTAGCATTCTTCATCCAAGTGGCTCTCCAGTAAAACTAGTGGCAATCAGGTTTAAAGAGAATGTCATTTATGTATAAGTCCAGGGCTCCAAAACATGGTTCACAATCCTCTAATACACCCTTTGCCAATGTGGTGCTCTCCAGATGTTTTGGGGTTACTTGTTTCCATCAACCACAGCTGAGTTGGCTGGGGCTGAGGAAAGTTGTAGTCCAAAACATCTGGAAGGCACCAGGTTGGGGAAAGCTTCCTGAAAAGGACATTGCTGTTCAGCTTTGTTTGGACCTCTAAATCATGCACACTTTCTCTCTGCTGGTCTAAAACAGCTGAAGATGGAAGATGTCTGGTGCTTGCCTTAAAGAAAGTTTCCTAATACAATTATTCCAAAATGGGCATAGCATTGGTCCTGAAGTCAGCAGGGTTTCAGCTAAGCTTCTTGAATTCAGTGATACTAGGACATGTCAACGCTTCACAATGCTCCAGTTTCATGCGCATCTTCACAAGACAAAAGCTGGAAAATGTCACAATTGAATGGGCAAAACAGTTCTTTCAGCAGAACCTCAAGCTGATAATGTTTTATTACCTGGGAAAAGTTGAATTGTGTCTAAACCTGGCACATTAAATATGATATGTCTTCTTGTGTGTTTACAGGTGGAAGATGACTGGAAATACGTTGCCATGGTAATTGACAGAGTGTTCCTGTGGGTGTTCATAATTCTCTGTGTATTTGGGACTGCAGGATTATTCCTACAGCCCCTGATAGCAGACACATAATTCACTGACTGTTCAAGTTTTGCTCTACGTGTACCTTTCAGTTTTATATTCAAGTCGTCCGCCTGCAGTAGAATGTCTGCTTTCACCTCAGGTCAAAAGAGCAGTGCTTTCTTCTTTATTTCTATTGGCTTTCACATTTTCCACCCTCAGGAAACCTTGTCCACATTGGCTTACTCATTGAGGAACCTTTGCACATCTGCTATGGAACCCTGGCTTCTAGAGTGTGCAGCTCATTTATACCCATTGAGAACTGAGTGGGCTTATTGGCCAGCTCAGCATTCTCCACTGGTGAACAAAGAGTATGTTCTGGAGCACATCAACTGCTCCACTTTGGCCACACATTGCTTCTACACTATGAATGAACGGTTCCTGGTAAGCTTCTAGGGAACCTGTTTGAAAATATGTCATTAGGCAACATGCCTCATTCTCATCTATAATAAGAAGTAGATTGGATTTTTTTTAAAGTGGCTCTTGGTGCATTGTTTCTTTGAAGAAACTAGTTCAAGGTGAGCCAAACGAGAACCAGCTTGAGCAAGCATGGCTATATGATTAGGAGAAAATGTTCCCAGCCATCCTATTTCCACATTTGCAGGCATTTTTCAAAATCCATTGGAGAATCCATTGGAGATGTGTCATCCATCCTCCATGAGAGCTCATCTGCACTTCCGCTTGTGCCAGTTGACCCCTTCCTTTCCAAAGGAAGAACTGCCCTTTAGTGATAGATTGGAACAAATGGCTATCTGGAGAAAACCCAAATTGCTGTTTGCTCTGATTGAGCGCTAAAGAGCAGTCCCCCCCCCCAGGGGAAAGCAGTGGGACAAGAGGAAATATTGAGGAGTCCTAACAAAATAAAATAAAGTGTGCTAGTCAGCCTAAGGAAGCTACCCACACAATATTAATTGTTTGAGACTGTTGCCTGTTTTGGAATCACATTCTTCTGTGGTTGTAAACATTGCAAAATGCTTCTGACTGGCCTAACAGGATTCTGAGACGCACTAATGGCATGATTCCTCGGAGGCGAATTATAACCACGGAGCAAAAACCAGTCACGTCTGTTTATGAGCTTTTCCTTAAATGTATGTCCATGTGCTCCTTTTTGTTATGGTTAAACTTGATATACAGAAGGAATTTTAACTTATTAATTTATTACTCTTGCCAATATTTTCTGAATACCCATTATATCATATGGAGGAAAGGGGGGAGGCTCATTCCAATTTTACAAGCATTTGGAAGTTCCAAGAGGTGAGTTTGGTTGGTTTTATTTTAAATGAAGTCAATTTCCTGCTGATGGGAGGAGAGCCCTGAAGACTTACAGAAGCCTGCTAATTTGCAAACATGCAAGGAGAGAGTGTTGGAAGGAAGTAGACTCCTAAAGCAATTGGCAGAACCACTAGTCCTGCAAGCCCCCAAAGAGCAGCACAGCTCAAGGAACCTTCATCATCAGCCAATGGCTGCAAATCACAGCTCACCTACTCAGGCTTGCTCTTTGTGTGCCCAAATTCAAGCTAGTTTATTCTTCCACCAGCAACATGCAAGCAGTATAGGTAGACTGTCCATTACAAGAACATCTGCAACTCTCAGCTCCCACAAAGGAAACACCACTGATCATTTCCGACTCTTAGCATGCAAACAAAAGATGGCTGCTTCAACAGCCCCTACATGTATATATGTCTGTGGGAAAGCAGCCCCACATTAGCTTGGTCAATGGCTAGATTCACCTATAGGGGCCTATCTTTATCCTATATCCTTGGGGAATATGCATGAGGATGTTGTACAGCAGGACTAGACAGAAAGTAGATTAAGATCTACTGGCAGAACGGGGGGTGATTTGCAGTAGGATGATAACTTTTTAGAAACTCCCATTTTTTAAAAAAACAGCAACAGCAAAAATGTGCCCCCTGCCTCCCCCCCCCCCACACCTTTCAAAAGAAAGAAAGAACAATGGTTGTTATCTGGTGTGTAGTAACTCAGATGTCAATTCCATACATTATATAAGAAGGCTATCCCTCTCATGGGGTACTGTAGGTAATAGAATCATCCTGTAGGTAATTCTGCAATGGCCACTGTCCCCACCTACCACCCTGAGTGGTAGTCATTATTTTGTACCTAACTTTAGCTGGCAGAGAGGGACGCAGGTGGCACAGAGCCTAGGGCTTGCCAATCAGAAGGTCGGCGGTTCGAATCCCCGCGACGGGGTGAGCTCCTGTTGCTCGGTCCCTGCTCCTGCCAACCTAGCAGTTCGAAAGCACATCAAAGTGCAAGTAGATAAATTGGTACAGCTCCAGTGAGAAGGTAAACAGCGCTTCCATGCGCTGCTCTGGTTTGCCAGAAGCAGCTTGGTCATGCTGGCCACATGGCCCGGAAGATGTACGCCGGCTCCCTCGGCCAATAAAGCGAGATGAGCACCACAACCCCAGAGTCTTCCACGACTGGACCTAATGGTCAGGGGTCCCTTTACCTTTACCTTTAGCTGGCAGATCTTGTGGGGGCCAGAAGAAACATGAAGTAGCTTGTGCATGCCTGAAGTCCCACGATGGTTGCGCTAGACCAGTGTCGGGGACTGATAAGGAGTATAGACAGGGAACAATGTTGTGGTTTGCATCCTACACTCTGCTGATTCTTCCAGTGTAGTTAAAATGACACTAGTACCATTACTTGCTTATGCAGGAGAAACCTGAAATATATTAAGCACGCAATAGGCATCTCTCTATATATTACACACACGGTGGCTGCAATCCAGCACAGAATTAGATATGATAACGAATGGTCTTACCCGTGCCTAACAATGTGCTGAGTTTATGGTGACCGATGCAGTTCTGACTTTCATGATTTCCTCCATTCTCGGTGTTTATTGTTTTGTTTGGAATATGTTTGTATTTTTCTACAATATGTCACGTATTTAAGTAGCTTCAAATAAAAAAATTAAAAGCAGTTTATTACGTATTCACGTTATTTAAAATAGCCATGCCGTTTTCTGCTTTAAAAGTCTAGGAACACATTCACACTAACCACTTTTTTAAAAAAATGCAAGTATGGCTGAGATTCGCATCCAAAAGGCCATGCTTGCTGGGGCTGATGGAAGTTGTAGTCCAAAATATCTGGAGGGCACCAGGTTGGGGAAGGATGTTATAGGATTGTGCACAGTTGGACTGGAGTGATACCTTTTCCTTAGTTCATAATCAGCCAGTGTTTTGCTGGTTCAATCAGAAAAACTATATTGTGTCAGATAACAGGATGGGTGATACCCACTCTCTATGGCTTTTCCCCCCATGGAAACTCCCTAGTTATAAATCTGGAGTACAGTGCTACATCGGGATGCGAACAGGATCCGTTCCAGAGCCCCGTTCGCATCCTGAACATAACGTAAGATGCGTCTGCGCATGCGCGGGTTGCGTTTCGCCGCTTCTGCGCATGCGCGTGACATCATTTTGACCATCTGCGCATGCGTGAGCAGCGAAACCCGGAAGTAATACGCTCCGTTACTTCCAGGTCGCCGCAGAGCACAACCCGAATGTGCTCAACCTGAAGCGTATTTATCCCGAGGTATGACTGTATAATTTAGTGATATTCCATTTAAATGCCCCAGATAAATTGGCCTTTCAATATATAAAAAATATAGCCAGATTCCTGCTTACTTTGACCCTATCAACATGACAGTTTTATATTGCTTTTCATCACTGAGTTATGGTTTCTTCCAAAGAATCCTGGGAATTATAGGTTGGTGAGGGTGCTGAAGATGATCTATTAGGGATCCTGGGTTGCCTGTTTCACTCTCAGTGATCTATGAGGTGGTAGAATGGACTGTACCACAGCAGACTGCATGCAGGAGACACTATTTCTGAATGCCCTTCCACATATATTACATTAAGTAGCTAATTAACACCGATGGGTGAATGTGTCCAGCCTAGCTCTCTCCTCCTGCTGTGCTACTTATTTTTGCTGGAAGTAAATTTTTCTTAAGGAGCATTCAAAAATGTGGTTTCCCCCACCTGCGTTATGATGTGGTGAGGTCCATTCTCCCACCTCAGGTTTCTATCACACTGCATGTGTAGACAGAGCCCATAATTCCCAGGCTTCTTTGGAAGAAGCTGTGGCTAAGTGTATCGTGCCAATCTAAATGTAGTTCCTAGTTTAAAGCTGTAGGCCTGTGATGCCCTTTGCAGAAGAGGAACAGTAGGTCTGGAATTCTGAAGGCCATAGATAGAAGCTTGGATCTTAACCGCTGCAGTAACTGAGATATTGTGGAGCCTTCTGTTTATTCACTGACATACAGTAGGTGTGTAATCTATGCTACACATCTAGCAGGTTCATTTTATGAACTTTGAGCAGGCAGAAACATAAGACTATTGTCTCTTTTAGGAGTGACTGTGTGCAATCTGAGGTGTCAAGCTGCTGTAAGTTTTATATTTGTTGAGGAAATTCCACAAGATGGATGATCTTAAAAATATATCTCAAGTCTCGTGACCATAAAATTAGATCAAATCATTGGTTAATCAGCCCCAGCTTTTTAATTAAATCACTGCTGATTGCTCAGAGATTTGACTTAATTAAATTAAGATGCTGTGGAAGAATTTCACACCATTTTGCTGTTTCAGAGAGGCTGTTTTGAGTTAAACCCGCCCTGCTCAAGTATTTAACTAATGTAGCTTAAGGTCCTTAAATTTATCTCAGTGGAATTTCATGTGCCCACCTACATAAGTTTCCCTCTACCTGACACCCTCCAGATGTTTAAGACGACAATTCCCATTAGCCCTGAACTTTGGCCATGCTGGGAGAGAGGTGCATGAGGTTGGAGAAGGTTGGTTGGCACCATTGAGGACCTGACTACTGGAATGTAGGGTTCACACTTTTGTGTATGGGTAGTGCTCACTGGAAGGACAGATCCTGAAGCTGAGGCTCCAATACTTTGGCCAGCTCATGAGAAGAGAAGACTCCCTGGAAAAGACCCTGATGTTGGGAAAGATTGAGGGCACAAGGAGAAGGGGACGACAGAGGACGAGATGGTTGGATAGTGTTCTTGAAGCTACCAACATGAGTTTGACCAAACTGCGGGAGGCAGTGGAAGACAGGAGGGCCTGGCGTGCTCTGGTCCAGGGGGTCACGAAGAGTCGGACACGACTAAACGACTAAACAACAACAACAACAATGCCTGACTGATGGCTGCCATTTTTTATTTACCCTGTTGCTGTTGCCTATTATGCTTCATGTTACTGTGTGGGGTGTTGTTGTTTCACAGCTAACAGTTATTTCACAAAATGTCGGCCCCTTTGCTTATTATAACGCAAAGAAAAGCGGGATGTGCATATATTTCATCCAGGATTCTGCACACAGTTTCTTCTAAGCACTGTGAAATTAGAGGCGGCATCTGAAATTGAACATTAGATATCAAAAGAGAATAGCAAAGATGGTCTGGAGAGCAGCCATGCACCTGGGACTGGCCATATGTGGGGCAAGTGGCAATGTCACACTCCACTCATGATGATGCTCCACAAGGACAGAGGGGGAAAGAATTATATGAAAATTAGCCCTGAGCACTTGGCTGCCTTGGAATGTCCTTTCTACCTATTTTTAGAACTCAGCCGCAGCCTTTTCCCACTGCTAAGTTTCACCACCACCACCAGTTCTTTGTCGACACACAAAAACAACACCCTCCGTCTCATGAGTCATTATTGCTTTTATTCATTATGTTTACACCCATGCACAATTCTTGCCTGCGACAACAATCTAGCATCCAAAGCGGTTCTAAGCTCACATACAGGACAGGTAGGTTTTCTAGCACGTTGTGACATTTTACTTTTTACTTCCTGCGCTAGGGTTGAGCCTAGGGGGTGCAGAGTGAACACAGAGCGGAAAGCAATTTCCTTAGTGGACTATTTCGCCCCAGTATATACGCTCTTTACCAGATGGGGCAATGCTGCGAGCCTCAAGGCTTGCATGCTGCATGCACGATTTGTGTCAAATTTCATTTTTGGTCTCAGAATAGCTTGGTGAGTACTTGGCACTTGTTTCCTTTTAAAAATAAAATTTAAAAAATATGGATAGGATAAACTGAGCACACTAGACAAGTTCTATTCCAATCTTTGGTCTTTTGTACAGTGGTACCTCGGGTTAAGTACTTAATTCGTTCCGGAGGTCTGTTCTTAACCTGAAACTGTTCTTAACCTGAAGCACCACTTTAGCTAATGGGGCCTCCTGCTGCTGCCGCCGTTCTTATCCTGAAGCAAAGTTCTTAACCTGAAGCACTATTTCTGGGTTAGCGGAGTCTGTAACCTGAAGTGTATGAAACCCAAGGTACCACTGTACTGTAAAATTCCTGTATGTGGACCTGGACGCCATACCCTTCAACATTTCTCCAATGGGAACAGGGGCATCCTAAGGAATCAGGGACATTCCAGGATCAAATCAGAAACTGGGATGGCTTCTGTAAAGCTAGGACTATCCCTGGAAAATAGAGACACTTGGAAGGTCTGGAACAACCCCAAGATCTGCTTGGCCTTCCTATCTGTGTGCATGCTTGTCTACTATTGCGGCATCTAGGGTTCCTTTTGTGCCAAAAATTGAACTAAGTAGCAGCAGCATGCAATACGGTTGGAGGGAACTGAGCCCAGCTGATGCTTTTCACTAGCGTGGAACTGGATCGCAAAGCGATGTCTACAAGACCTGGCAGCTCCTTGGCTGTTGTTTACTGCTGCCAAGCAGATTAGCTCACCACCAAAGCCGTGTGTGACCGGCTTCACAGTTAGGCTGCATACACAGGCAATCGCAGATGGAGAGCAATGGAAGCGTGGTCTCTCTCCTTCAACGGTATTCCTGCCCCCCAACTCTAGCACTGGTCACTTTGCAAGGATAATGGGGGGGGGGGGCAGCCTCACTGTAAAGGTGAGAGAAAGTAGTGCATTTATTTTCTCCAGCACCTGTTTTTAAAGCACTACCAATGGAATACGTTCACATTTTCATGTCCTTAAAAAACGTTTTTAAAAAAATATCTTTCCAGGCAGCTCTAAGCTACTCCAGATACTGTGCTACTCATCATGGGAACCATCACAACCGTCACACCAAAATGAGCACAGTATTCTTCTGGGGGTACTACTAGGAGCTGGCACTGGTTTCATCCAGTGATGCTTGACGAGCTACAGAAACTTGCAAAAACCCCTTGGATCGGAGTCTGTGATAGTGTAGGAAGAAATAAACATGTGTGCCCCACACAACGTCAACTCCACCATGACACTTCCGACCCTGGAAAGTTATACAGTGGTGCCTCGCAAGATAAATTAATTCGTTCTGCGAGTTTTTTCGTCTTGCGATTTTTTCGTCTTGCGAAGCACGGTTTTGGAAAAGTTTTTGGAAAAGCTTCAAAAATCACCAAAGTCTTCAAAAACCTCAAAAAAGGCTACCACACCGCGTGCTATGAGTTGCTCCTCGAAGTCAAGTCGCAACCGTATTAACGGTTTTAAGAAAAAGGAAACAAACTTGCAAGATGTTTCCGTCTTGCGAAGCAAGCCCATAGGGATAATCGTCTTGCGAAGCAACTCAAAAAACCCAAAACCCTTTCGTCTTGCGAGTTTTCCGTCTTGCGAGGCATTTGTCTTGCGAGGTACCACTGTAATCTGAATACAGCAGAGATGAGGAACCTCAGGCCAGCAGGCCAAATGCAGCCTTCCATCTGGCCCTCAGGCTACATCTTCAGCATCCCTGCTCTAGGACCTCCTTGCTTGCCTGGAATATGCCTTGAACTATGAAAATGCCTCTTGCTGGTCTGGATGGAGGAGGCTGAGATTTGGGTAAATATCAAAGCACCTGACTTTTGCAAGGTTAGAATGTAAGAGTCGTACCCACTGCTTTGCCTACTTTCCCCCCGGCCCCATCCACCCCCTGGTATGTGGCCCCCATAAGGGTCCCCATGAATATATGTGGCTCTTGGGGGTGAAAGATGTTCCCCATCTGAGAGGTAGGAAATCCACATGTGTGAAAACAAAAAACACCAGTCAAAGGCCTGCAAGTCTCCAATGGCAACAGAGATACATATGCCCTTGCTGGGCTCGTTGGCAAGTCTTACTCATATCTCTCTCCAGCATGATTCATTGCTTAAAACGTGGCAAAAGTTTCCAGAAATTGAGGGGCACCAAGAACAGATGTAAGACCTGGGCAAACCAAAAGGAGGAACTGAGAATGGCTTTCAAAACTGAAAATAGATATGAGATGTCACTCATAATGACAGGTCACTTGAGTGGTATGCATAAATATACATGTAAACTCAGTTATTAATTGTTATATATAGATATAGATATATAATATCTGTGCTTATTATATTTACTCTTCATCAAGCTTATGCACAAGTGCCCTATGCCTTTATATTATTATTCAATATCTTTGAAAACACATTTAGTGCAACAAATACACAGAGACCTCACCTTTCTGCATACAATTTGCATAAAATGGAATATGTACATTTAAGTGCTGAAACCAAGTTTGAATATGGCTGAATGAAATTATGCAAGGTCTACTGATGCAGATCTTTTAGGACTAACATGGTTTTTATAGTTCATATAGATATCTATAAAATCTTCCCAGTGTCAAAGATATATTGCTGTATTAATAATATTGGACACGATTTAAAAATAAAAACAAAACTTTCAAAATAGGGTGCATCTATGCCACTGACAAAATGGTATGGTGGGCATTCTCTGGTCTTTCAAGTGCTTGGGGACAGAGAAGCGTTAGGGACTCCCCACAGATAATCCTCAACACAACACACTACAAGTCAAAGGATTCTTTGGTTTTGCAATCGTTTAAACTGATGCAAAATCAATATGTTTGTGGTCTACATATGTCTGGCTTATGTGCTTGAATACATAGAGGCTTATCTTTCAATGGCGACTGTATCTGTATTAGCTGATAAACACCTACAGATACAGAATTGGATGTCTTCATTTGTGCAACAATTTGAAAGGCTAACAGTGCCATCCTATGGTTCTCTACTCAGAAGTAAATGCAATTTAGTTCACAGGACTTTCAGGTAAGCGAGCATAGGATTCAGCCTTAAAAGTTGATTGGAGGGTACAATCATCAACAATACCAATTGCCACCAGTGGCAGTGTCGTTTCCAGTTCAGAATGCACCAGTGTTGACTCTGAGTCTATTCAGTTCCTTCCTTCCTTCCTTCCTTCCTTCCTTCCTTCCTTCCGCAGATTCCCATGTTCTTATTTCTAGACAATACTACTTCCACTTTGCAACCATGCCTTTAAAGCGGGAGTAAATATAAGAACAGAGCCCAACACAGACACCACCAAAAATAGCCATAGGAAGATACGGTCAAGGACCTGAGCTACAAACTTCCAGTCTTGCACCACCTAGAAAAGAAAATGATGGCCGTGAGTTTCACAAGTATTTTGCACAGTTGAAGAGCTGCTTTGAAATATGCTTGGAATTTAGTTATCAATTTGTGTAACAATTAAGTTTATCATGAATAGTTCTCTCAAAGTTTCTGCCTTTCGAAAAAAACACCACTCCCTGTGGCCTTTGATATTTATAAATGACTATAAATGGTATTTTTAGCTAGCATAAGCCATAACACAAGTCAGGTGCAAACAATCACTTTTTAAATATCTAACGGGGTAGATAGAAGGTGAAACATGGTTCACTCATGGATATGAGCCAATTTCAAGTAGATCACCTAGGATTAAGCAAATGCTGGGCTAAGAGACTCTTGGCCTGATTCTGCACACACAGTCAACCTACCTTTTTTGGACTAGAATCCCCATGTTGACTTAGTGTGACTGATACGGCCTCGGCCCAGTGTACCTGAAGCAGCGTCTCCACCCCCATTGTTCATCCCGGACACTGAGCTCCAGCGCCGAGGGCCTTCTGGCAGTTCCCTCACTGCGAGAAGTGAGGTTACAGGGAACCAGGCAGAGGGCCTTCTCGGTAGTGGCGCCCGCCCTGTGGAACACCCTCCATCAGATGTCAAGGAAATAAACATCTATCTGACTTTTAGAAGACATCTGAAGGCAGCCCTGTTTAGGGAAGTTTTTAATGTCTGATGTTTTATTGTGTTTTTAATATTCTGTTGGGAGCTGCCCAGAATGGCTGGAGAAACTCAGCCGGATGGGCAGGGTATAAATAATAATAAATGATGATGATGATACCTGCCTGTTTTTGAACTAACATACCTGCCTAATGAAGTGTTCCTTTTTCACGTGCCCAGAGATATACTTGATGGAATCAGCAGCCTTTTCCAGGAAGGCAATCACAACTTTTTCTCCGTCTTTGAATTGTTTGTGTTTATGCTTCCTTGTCGGCTTTTCTTTCTGTGTCCCTTTGGGATCAGAGAATGAATAGCGATCTACATGTCCTTTCATGCAGAGCAGCCTGGGCAGTTTCTGAAGGAAGAGCCTCTTCACCCAAGGAGCCATCGGGTGGTAGGTGGCCGAGGAACGATGGTGCACGTTGATTACAAAAACAGTCACGATGATGGACAAGGTGACAAAAATCATGATGAACAGCAAGTACTCGCCAATCAAAGGGATGACTTTGGAGGAAGAGGGGATGATTTCTTCAATGACTAAGAGAAAAACAGTAAGGGAGACTAAAACCGAGGTGGACAGTGAGAGTTTTTCTCCCTCATCAGAAGGCAAGTAGAAAACAAGCACGGTCAAGAAAGATAATCCCAGACATGGGATGATTAAGAAGAGAGTGTAAAATAATGGTAGTCGTCTTAAAACAAAAAAATAGGTAATGAAAGGATAGGAATACAATCCGTCTTTTCGGTTTCCCTTCATCCCCTTGGCATTTAGGATTTCCCATTCTCCGTTATCAAAAAAATCTGTCCTGTCCACATTTTCATCGACTAAAATTAGGTCTACCATGTTGCCATCATAGGTCCACGATCCGAATTTCATCGAACAATTCTGTCTGTCGAATGGGAAGAAGGTGACATCCATAGTGCAGGAACTTTTATAACTGGCTGGAGGAGTCCAGACTACTATCCCATTGTATTTGACTATTGCTTTTGTCATCAAGGAACCTTCAAAGCGCCCATCAGCACTGGAAAGGGGAGAGTAGGGAAGAAAAACTATTTGAATAGTGTTTCCAAGCTGCTGTTTCCAATTCTTTTTCTTATATTCTGATTTTGCTTCCCATCGCTTTGGTAGATGGTAGACAGGTACGTAATCATAAACAGGTTGCAATAAATTGTTCCATGTTTCAGCAGCCTTTTAGTACTTATTCATCCGTTTATTCCAGATGTTCGTAATCTGCCTTTCACCCACAAGCTCCCAAGGCAGCAACACTAAAACCACCATTAAAGGTAAAGGTACCCCTGCCCGTAAGGGCCAGTCTTGACAGACTCTAGGGTTGTGCGCTCATCTCACTCTAGAGGCCGGAAGCCAGCGCTGTCCGCAGACACTTCCGGGTCACGTGGCCAGCATGACGAAGCTGCTCTGGCGAGCCAGCACCAGCGCAGCACACGGAAACGCCGTTTACCTTCCCGCTATAAAGCGGTACCTATTTATCTACTTGCACCCAAGGGTGCTTTCGAACTGCTAGGTGGGCAGGAGCTGGGACCGAACGACGGGAGCTCACCCCGCTGCAGGGATTCGATCTGCCGACCATACGATCGGCAATTCCTAGGCGCTGAGGTTTTACCCACAGCACCACCCGCGTCCCAATAAATAAATAAATAAATAAATAAAACCAATAAATAAAACAAAAATTACTCAACAATATAAAATTCATTACTGAATTGAGTCCTAAGTTTATGGGTAGAGACAGGGCATTTTGGAAATAGGCTATTGTTTTCTCCAGGGCTACTGAATGACCAAATAGAGGCAAATGCTTGTAGTGACTGTAAATATTGGGAGGTTACACTGCTGGGCCTCTCCCCAAGATTTTACTCCATGTCTATAACACTTCTCAAGGACCCTTCTCAAGGTCCTGGCACAGCCCACCCCAACTTGCTGGTCCCCTAATGACATGCCTACTGTAAGCCCTTGGAAGAGAAAGAGAATAGGACCATGTTTGGGGCTAGAAAAGAGGTGGAGAAGGCAAGGGTAATAATCTACTATTCTCCTATAGCCACTAGCTCTAAATAACTTCAAATACATGTGTATATATTCTTCTGTTGTTCTTGCTATTATTCCTACCCACCCACCCATTTTGTATGTCAATTTTTTGACTATAAGCTCCTTGAGTAGGCATGGCCAAACCTGGCCCTCCAGCTGTTTTGGGACTACAGTTCCCATCATCCCTGACCACTGGTCCTGTTAGCTAGGGATGATGGGAGTTGTAGTCCCAAAACAGCTGGATGGCCAAGTTTGGCCATGCCTGTCGTTGAGGCTTAGATCTGTCTTTTTGTACCAGACATGGGGAATCATTGGCCCCCCACATTTTACTGAATGCTAACTCCTATCAGCCCCAGAAAGCGTGGCTAATAATCTCAGCCGATGGGAGTTTGAGTTCAGTAAAATCTGGAGGTTCACCACACCTGCTTCATACAGTACACAGATGTTGCTATACAAAGAAAATAAATTATCTACCTTTCAGCTTCTCTCCTGAGACCCCTGCACACAAGTACGAAAAGTACTGTAAAAAATGAGTGTCAAGATCTGTATACTCACTTTTCAAACAAAACAATATCTGGGAGCCAGAGAGATTCAGATGGAACTCGAATTGCGGTGATTCCACCATAGTCCTCCGGATTCCAGCACAATTTTTGGTCAATCCATTCCTGCAATAATCAGCAAAAGCACCACTGTTGCTTGGTCAGTTTCACAACAAGCTGAATACTCTAAGGAACCAAATTAGAATAATTCTGTAGCATCCATCAGCTTCAAAGATGTCCCAATCATGCATCCAGTTTCAGCCCACAGAAGCACATATTACAGTTGCCATCAAACACGATCCACAGAATTTCACAGAAACCAGACAGGCCAAACCTGGCAGGGTCTCTGTCCTGAATATTCGCCTCAATTTTTAATGAAAAATTCCTTCCAGCAAATCCAGTTTAGGAACATAGGAAGCTTATTTCTTTTAAACTTAAGGAAGGAAACAGAATACAGTACAGAAAGCTTCCTTATGCCAAGTCCACCACCTAAGTACTGTCTGTGCTGGGTGTTAGCAATTCCCAGAAGTTTCAGACGGGAGTCTTCCACAGCCCTACATAAACCTATTAGGTACTGAAGAACCTGGGAAATGTTGCATGCAATGAAAGTGCTCTACTACTAAGCAACCAGCTCCTCGAAAGATTTCTTCAATGGTGTCTCCGAAAAATTTTTACACATCACTTGGGAAGACAGGTGAACTAATGCCAGTGTACTAGAAGAAGCAAAGATCACCAGTGTCGAAGCAATGATTCTTCAACATCAACTTCGTTGGACTGGTCATGTTGTGAGGATGCCTGATTATCGTCTTCCAAAGCAACTACTCTATTCCGAACTTAAAAATGAAAAGCGTAATGCTGGTGGTCAACAAAAGAGGTTTAAAGACTCTCTCAAGGCAAATCTCAAAAAATGTAGTGTAGACACTGACAATTGGGAAACACTGGCCTACGAGCGCTCCAGTTGGAGAACAGCCTTTACCAAAGGTGTCATGGGCTTTGAAGACCCCTGAACTCAGGACAAAAGAGAGAAATGCGCCAAGAGGAAGGCACGCTTGGCAAACCCTCACCATGATCAACTCCCACCCGGAAACCTATGTCCCCACTGTGGAAGGACATGTGGATCCAAAATTGGCCTCCACAGTCACCTATTGACTGACTGTTAAAACCGTGTTTATGGAAGACAATCTTACTAGGCTACGAGTGATCGCCAAAGAAGAAGAACTAAGCAAAGGTTGCTTGCTTTCAGCATCCCTGCCACAGTGCCATCAGTCTTTACCATTCATTAGTTATGGAAAATATAGGGGAAATGTGTGACTGATATTCTACCCAGTAGCCAAGAAAGAAGTAAACTTGCCTTCATCTCCCAGCGTTCTGATCAATGAATGTGAAGTCACTAGCTATGGGGTACATCAACTGCTTTGCATGCAGAAGGCCCCATACTCAATCCCTTGCACCCCCAGGTAGGACAGGGAGAGAGTCCTCTCTGAAATCCAGGAGTCGCTGCCTGTCAGTGCAGACAGTACTGTGCTAGATAAGGCCTCTCCTCCTCCCGGAGGGGAGGTGTTGTGGGCGGGACGTGATTTCTGCGTCATGCAGGGGGTGTTATGCCCCCTGCCCCATTCACCTGGCTGGCGCGCCACGCCAACAGGTAGGCACCCAACCGGGTGGCTTGGTGGGGGCGTGGTTTGCTGTTTAAGATACAGCCGCACCAGCCATTCCACCCATTTCTACAGCTGTGAGGGTATTGGCGGCGAGCCTCTTGGGCTCGGGTGGCGGTTAGGCATTGGAATGTATTGTTGGTGTGTGGAAGGGCAAGGTGTGGCCATCGCCTACCCCTTCAAATTTGGGTATTCCGTTAAAGGAATCCGGTGGTCGTGGATCCTGTCCGATGCCTGTGTGGTGGGGGGCCATGGCACGACCCTCGGTGACATCAGGGGAGAGCTTATAGTTGGATTAGCATCAACAGGCTCCCCCTACTGGTGAATAACCCCTCTTTAGGCTCACCCCTCTCCGAGTGGGTGGAGTCAATTTTCCATGGTCCAATGCCTAAGCCAATACCTTCTCACTTGCTGTAATCAATAAAGTCGTGGCCTTTTCTTGCCCATTAACCTTATACACTGTGTCCACGTGTTTTTATTCCTCGAAGCGGGGATTGGGTCCTCGAACCACAAGCCTATATTCTGACTTGGAATAAGGCAGCTTCCAATGTTCCTATGAAAATTAACAAACACTTTGACACTTTGACTTAAGTTTGAATGAAATAAGTCACAGGACTGCTTACATTTAGGTTTGGGTTGCTTCATGTTGAGTTATTTTCCCCACCACCACTACCACCCTTAGTATGTCTTTTGGCCTCAGACACAGCATAAAAAATTCTGGTTATGTTACAACCACACAATTGCTTCAGCGCATACCTGTGCATGTGGCTAAAACTCATCAAAAGGCAGTTTTAAAGACATGGCTGCTGAGTGCTAACACATTCATTTGGCAGGACCTTCAACCAGCAGGGCTCTGTGCTTTTTATGTGGACATGCTAGAGATCTCCCAGGGAAAACAAGATACATTGAGGCAACAAGTACCATCAAGACCAGAGTTTCCCAAACTTGGTCTCCAGCTGTTGTTGGATTACAACTCCCATGATCCCATCATGATGGGAACTGTAGTCCCAAAATAAGCTGGAGATCCAAGTTTGGAAAACCCTATCTAGACCTTTGAGACTGAAGCATAGTTAATCACAGCTCTTTTTCACAAGTGCAAGACACAAAAATCCATGAATCAGATGGACCATCTGAATGTCTGTCTTTCAGAATTAAAAAAAACCTATTACATATTTATTATTGTTGTTGTTATTACTACTACTACTACTACTACTACTACTACTCCTCTCTGCTACTTAGCCTTTAAAAGCATCTTGATCTGCAGGCATTAGCAGGTATAATGCGTATTTCTCTGCTGCTGTGCAAAGCTTCCCTGATGATTTGGAGAGCTCAAAGTGCTCTTAAAGGCTCAAGAGCAAGCCAAGTCACTTTCTTCTGGTCAATTGACCACCATATGTTGACGTCATGCTGCAGTGGCTAAACCAGGCTCTCTGAGTGGCATCATGCTTACAGTAATAATCAAAGGAAAGGAAAGCACCTCTCCCCTTATATTTATTATTTATAAGTTTTTAGGTTGCGCTGCGGGAATGCAAGAGAAGGAAGAATGTGTGAGCTTACTAAAATCAATATCAGCAATGAAAGCATCTTCCTGTAGAGAGTTCAGGTACAGGACTCTTACAAGATCCCCCCTTCTGCAAAAAAAACACCTCATGATACTTCTGAGTAGTTATGGATTTCTCAAATACACTATTCTGGGTGTGGGGAAGGTGTGAGGTCAGTAGACTAAATTTAGGGCTCTCTTTATCCCAGGTGAGGGGAACCCTTGGGCCTGTAGAAGCTGCTGAACTACAATTCCCATCATTCCTAGCCACTGGCTGCACTTGCTGAGGTTGATGGGAGCTGTAGTTCAGCAACACCTGGAGGGTCAAACGTTCTCTGGCCCATTGCCTTTGCATTGCTTGTGCCAGGCAATGCTGAGTTGAAAATTAAACATTTGCTCCTCTCGATCCTTTTCTAGCAAAAGGAATTAATGAGCACACAATAACCTGTAACCGGGCGCAACCTTGTGACAGTGTCATGAGAAGTGGTAGAAGAAGAAGAGTTTGGATTTGATATCCCACTTTATCACTACCCTAAGGAGTCTCAAAGCTGCTAACAATCTCCTTTCCCTTCCTCCCCCACAACAAACACTCTGTGAGGTGAGTGAGGCTGGGAGACTTCAGAGAAGTATGACTAGCCCAAGGTCACCCAGCAGCTGCATGTGGAGGAGCGGAGACGCGAACCCAGTTCACCAGATTACGAGTCTACCACTCTTAACCACTACACCACACAGGTAGCCTGATTGTATGCAAACTTGTTAAGAAAGATGTCCCACTGTGCATCTTGAGCCTTCTCCCCAGGGCTGGCCCAAGATAGTTTGCTGCCTGAGTCGAAAGACAAGATGGCACCACTCCCTACTCCATGTGGTGTACTCGACTGGAGTGGATTTTACTTCAACACTGGCATCATTGCACATGGCAGCAGTGGGCTAGTTCAGGGGGTGCAGAACAGGCCGTGTGGCTCAAACACCTGCTATCCAACAGAAGGAAATGGCTGGCAGGGTTGCTGCCATTGCCATCAGACTTTCTACAGTCACCTAATTTTGCCTATTAGTAGGGCCGGCCCTGCCTTTATTTCTATTTCTCTGCTCCAAATTGCTTGCATTTATAAGGCTTCCCACATACACATGTAGACATACACACACACATAGTGCTCAAAAGTTGTGTTTACCTGCATTTTGAACCACGTTGGTGGAAGCCACTTGGGCAACAATTTAGAATGGTGAAATAGCAAGTGCTTCTCCTCTCAAAATCCTAGCCCTGAGTGTATGTTTTTAAGGTCAACATTAAGCTCTACTCCACAGATTTGCCTGCAACATGCAGTTAGACCCTCAGTTTCCTATCATTATTCCTAGTTAAGCTGCTCTGTATAATGTACTCAAATCATCTTCCTCTTTAATGCTTACACACTTCAGATGCTAATAATCAATTATACTCTTCAAGTAGCTGACACATCTTTAACTCTTTCCATTACTTTCCATTGTGCCTGTTTCTTCAAGACTTCTACATTTACTTTTGTGCTCTTCTCTTTGGACAGATTTACCCACATTTTAAGGACCACAACGAATTATTGTGGTTATGGATTCCCGTACAGCAACAGTTCTTCTGAGGGGCAAACTATACATTATTTTAGGTGCAGTGCTTTACTTTTAAGTGCATGGTTGTCTTACACAAATTGTCTAGCAGTTGGCGGGGGGGATGGGACATTAACTCTTTATCCCCATTGTGATTCCAATCTATATTAGGCTCCTCCCACCTCTTGCAGTCTTCATTAGGGGGAAACTCTCATTCACTTCAATGCAAAATTTCCCCCTCTATTCAAACTGCAGGTACAGGGCCCCCAATCTGGATAGGGATCATAGCAGTAAGCAGAGGGTTAAATCTCTCCCTCCTGCTCCCCACACTATGGTTCCCGTTCAGCTCAAGGGGACTATGCTGTAAAAAACAAAAACAAAAAAAATCCAAGGCACATAAAGTCACAGGTAAGTGGCTAACACAGGTTTGGCCCAACCATGAGACAGGATGAGGTGACCGCCTCAGGCGGCAGAATTCACAGGGATTGCAGATCTGGCCTCCAAGGAATGCATAGCCCATTCCTTGTAAGCCAGATCTGCCTGCTCCTCAGCAACCCCTCTCAGTGCCTCCTGTACAGTGGCCTCTTGGAGGCGCTGCTCGTGTCCTCCCATCCTTGTTCCTGAGGTAGATTTTTATTCCCTCCATGTTCCCTGGTGGGGGGACGCCATTTTGTGGTTCACCTCAGGTTCCAAAATGTCTTGGGCAAGCCCTGGGATGATGCAAGATGTAGTTAGGTCCTCAGTATGTGGACTGGGAATTCCCCAGAGACTGTGTGGAAAAGTCACAATCTTCCACTCCCCGTCAGGAGGCAAGGACGGTCACCCGTTTTGCTGACCGCTTGAAGAGCAGCTTAGTATAAATCACTGCACAACGGCAGCACATTCCAATATATGAGCAGCAACTTGCAGCTTAACCCCGCTCCCCATTTTGTCTTTTTCCATTGACTGAAGAAAGCTTTTGTTGATCAGATGATATTGCCAATCACCCTTGTGCCCTCTAAGAGAGAAAGAATAGTCCCCAAGGGCTGGTGTGGTCTGCCTTGCCAAGGCAGTAAGCAAAGGGTATGTTTACACGCCTTGTCCTGGGGTACAAGTTGAGCTGCAGACAGGCACGTAAGGAGCTAGGGAGCAGTTCAGAAAGTGAGATTCTGGTTTATTTTGAATTCTGGTGGCTCACCTCAGCCCCAGTTCAGCAAGCCCAGAGGCAAATATCTGGCAGAAGGAGAAGCAAAAACTTAAGAGTCACTCTACAGACTAATTTGTAAGCAAATGAAAATTGATTTAAGTTAAATACGAATAATTCAAATGTTAACATTTGAAAATGCCAAGTGTTTCTCAGTCACCACCACTCATTTACCTGGAAACTGGAGTAGATAGACATTGATGTCTTAACTGAGCCTCTAGGTGATTGTAGAACAGTTCCTGTGTGACTGATTGTTTTCGTTAAATCGCCATACGTGAAAGGATGAGTGACATTTCCAAAATGAGAGCTGAAAATTCAAGGACGGGGATTGACAAGTCCTTGTGGAGAACAGGACACTATAGCTCTTCCCTCTACTCCATGGCTCTGGCCCTGTTTCACAGTTCTAGTGGGATAGATCCAAACTGGTGCAAGGCAGAAAGAAGGCTGTTGCTTCAGCAGATCTCCCCAACCCCACCCCAAGCTGTGCACAGAGGAGTTTCAGCCCACAGAGATATATTTTTGGCTGACAGAAACCAGCATGGCCACTGCAGCGAGTTCTCTGCTGAACCTTTTAAAAGAATTTAAGCTGATGGCAAAACTCAACTGATTTGATCAAGTAGCTTTCTGCACAGCTTCCTGGCTGGATCATACTGCCCAAGGACTGCTACAGATTGCCCTATGAGAGGTGCAGGGGACCTTTGGCTCTCAAGATGTTGCCAAACTATAATCCTATTATTCCTTGGCCATGCTTCGTGGGGGTGATGAGAGTATGACCAATGACCAGGAGTGATGGGATTGTAGTTCGGCAACATCTGCGGAGCCAAAGATTCCCCACACCTACCCTAAGATATGAGAAGAGGGAGAGAGTGGTGACTGGCTTGGACTTAAGGGGACAGTGCAATAATAATAATAATAATAATAATAATAATAATAATAATAATAATAATAATATTTTACAGTGGTACCTCGGGTTATACACCCCAGAGGACAGGATCACACTTCAAAACGACCTTGACAGATTAGAGAACTGGGCCAAAACAAACAAGATGAACTTTAACAGGGAGAAATGTAAAGTATTGCACTTGGGCAAAAAAAAATGAGAGGCACAAATACAAGATGGGGGACACCTGGCTTGAGAGCAGTACATGTGAAAAGGATCTAGGAGTCTTGGTTGACCACAAACTTGACATGAGCCAACAGTGTGACGCGGCAGCTAAAAAAGCCAATGCAATTCTGGGCTGCATCAATAGGAGTATAGCATCTAGATCAAGGGAAGTAATAGTGCCACTGTATTCTGCTCTGGTCAGACCTCACCTGGAGTACTGTGTCCAGTTCTGGGCACCACAGTTCAAGAAGGACACTGACAAACTGGAACGTGTCCAGAGGAGGGCAACCAAAATGGTCAAAGGCCTGGAAACGATGCCTTATGGGGAACGGCTAAGGGAGCTGGGCATGTTTAGCCTGGAGAAGAGGAGGTTAAGGGGTGATATGATAGCCATGTTCAAATATATAAAAGGATGTCATATAGAGGAGGGAGAAAGGTTGTTTTCTTCTGCTCCAGAGAAGCAGACACGGAGCAATGGATCCAAACTACAAGAAAGAAGATTCCACCTAAACATTAGGAAGAACTTCCTGACAGTAAGAGCTGTTCGACAGTGGAATTTGCTGCCAAGGAGTGTGGCGGAGTCTCCTTCTTTGGAGGTCTTTAAGCAGAGGCTTGACAACCATATGTCAGGAGTGCTCTGATGGTGTTTCCTGCTTGGCAGGGGGTTGGACTCGATGGCCCTTGTGGTCTATTCCAACTCTATGATTCTATGATTCTATATATGCTTCAGGTTACATACGCTTCAGGTTACATACTCTGCTAACCCAGAAATAGTGCTTCAGGTTAAGAACTTTGCTTCAGGATGAGAACAGAAAACGTGCTCCGGCGGCGTGGCAGCAGCAGGAGGCCCCATTAGCTAAAGTGGTGCTTCAGGTTAAGAACAGTTTCAGGTTAAGTACGGACACCCAGAATGAATTAAGTACTTAACCTGAGGTACCTGAGGTACCACTGTATTTATATCCCGCCCTCCCCAGCCAAAGCCGGGCTCAGAGCAGCTAACAACAGTAAAAATAAAATCACAATCAATTAATTAATTTACAGTTTACATAAAATCACAATCAATTAATTTAAATACATTCTAAAATCAATTCAGAATCAAATTAATGGCAACCATTGGGCTAGAGTACAGAAGTAGAGAAGGGGTCAGACTGTGCCTTGGCAAAAGGCCTGGTGGAACAGCTCTGTCTTTCAGGCCCTGCGGAAAGATGTCAAGTCCCGCAGGGCCCTAGTCTCTTGTGACAGAGCGTTCCACCAGATCAGGGCCACAGCCGAAAAAGCCCTGGCTCTGGTTGAGGCCAGCCTAACCTTCCTGTGGCCCGGGATCTCCAAGATGTTTTTATTTGAAGACCGTAAGGTCCTCCGTGGGACATACCAGGAGAGGCGGTCCCGTAGGTACAAAGTACACTCAGAGGGGAATTTAAGGGAGCATGAGCAGTTTGCCTGCACTGGGCGCCAAGCTGAGAGGGCACCGCAGGGGACACAGCAACAATGATGAACAACAGGAGGTGAGAGGAGGCAGGGGTCCATCAAATTTTGGTGTTGCACAGGCCACCACTGACATTTCAAAGCCCAAAGTCCACCACTGATTCACTATGCCATCATCATCATCATCATCATCATCATCATGCCCCAACCACTCTGGGTGGCTTCCACCACATATAACAACTTAATAAAACATCAAACATTTAAAACTTCCTGAATGCAACACATTCGGGCCATCTCAAATCAGTATGACCTTCTTTTCCACTGTAAACCATGCTCAAAGAGCTCACAATATCAGGAAAAAGCTTACATCGTAAAACACGTCGGGAAAACTCACAATTACTAGATATTAACCAAATGTAAACAGCCATGTGTATAATAATAAGCTAAACAAAACTTATAATATTAACAAATACACGTTTGTGTGTGTGTGTGTGTGTGTGTGTTTATTAAAAAACCAAACCTCAACTAATAAACTCAATATGTCCCTAGGCATTAGCTTTTCTTTGAAAAAAAGGGGAAAAAAGCTGAGGAGATGAAGTGTTAATAAACATAGCACAACACCATATGTCTTCCCATTGCAAACTCCGAGTTATCCTGAAGGAAACATGTATATGCTCCAATGCTTTCTATTTACCCAGTCCCAAGGAAACAGCTTCCATATAAAAGACAGTTGCTGACATCTCTCCCTTGATCACACTCTAAGTTTCTAGGGGTGCCTCTTCCTTTCCTCTAGACTGGGGCCTCATCTACACGGTGCATTTAAAGCAATATCATATCACTATCAACAGTCATGGCTTCCCCCAAAGTCTTCCTTCAGAGAACCCTTTCTGCATCAGCTTGTCTGCCACAGAACTTCTGCAAACATCTCTATGTATTCTAGAAGACTGAACTGCACAGCTGGCTCCCTCAGGTCAGACTACCCTGAGATGTTGAAGGGAATTATCTGCTGTGGTGGGATAGCTGACAGGAGAACTCTTTTTTATGCCACTTCAGACTCCATATTTTGAAAACTGCTGTTTACTAGACAATCGATTCCCCTCCCCATTTTGTAATACAAGTGCACAAAGCTAGGCCAAGACATTTTGACACCTGAGGCGCACAACAAAATGGTGTCCCCCCTCCCGCCAAGGAAGAAGAGATGAGTGAAGATCTATACCAGGAACAAGGAAGGAGTGAAGATCTATATCGGGGTCTGCTACCCCTGTGGATCCTGCTGCCTGAGGCAGTTGCTTCATTTTGCCTCATGTGTGGGCCGCCTTGCAAGTGCAATAGATTTATCGCCTTTAGAGACCATTAATCAGCATTTACTGTAAAAATTCACTGTCAATGATGAACATTTACACTGACTGCGTTTTCATATATCTTACCTGTTTCAGCCATACATTAGTTGTCATCAGCTGATTCTTTTCATCCTGTGGAGGGGGAAATAAGCAGAAATCATTTATTCTTCTGGGGGGGGGGGAACCAACCTCCCAGCATTCTCCAAGAATAAACAGTCTGCAACCATTTCAGAGTTTTCCACTTTCCAGGACAGTCCCTGTGTTAAACAGATAACCTAAGGGCTGGATCTACACTAAACTAAAAAAACACTAAGAAAAAAGTAATATAGCTCTCAATGCAATTTTCCATTGACTGCTGTACAGCACCCCCTGATGTCACATTTTTATAACGCATTTATAACGTTATAACTCACCAGTATAGATTAGCCCCTGGATTGACTTATTTACACTCACATGGGAGTTTAATGTGGATTTGAAACTGCTTGCATCCCTCTCTTTTTTATGCTGTCCACATGACATCCTTATCCAACTGGTAGACCACACTTTTACTACATTCAATTCAGATTTTCCTGATCTGAGGATAATCTGATCACATGTTAACTGACTGTGGGCACACTATGTACAGTATGAGTAAGTTTTTTTCAAAAGAAAATGTGTATGACATATTGCCGCATCCCTATTCCCATTTTGTTTCTGAAAGCCCAAAGGATTTTTGGGTGGTAATTGCTTTATTCTTAAAATGTAGCAGAACTGCTCTATAGAAGGAAAGGAAGGAAAGGAGGACCCAGAGAAATAGATTACATACCACATCTACTAGTTGGGATATCTTTAATCCAAAGTACACCTTTATGGTATCATTGGCATGTTTCACAGGCCTGATCCATTTCTGATACCCTTGAAATAAGTGCCGCAAAAGTGCATCTTCATTCTCGGCAAATGAGCTGAACACAGTAAAAGCTGAAAGACAAAACTAAGAATTATTGAAAGAATGGAAATATTCTGCCATGTGAGTCTTCAGTGGATGGGCAGGCAGGCAAAGGACAATTTAAATATGTGCTCAGTTTAATTACTAGCCATAGGGAAACCCAGGATTATGCAGAATTCAGAATGACAGCTCAATTGGATGGAGCTAAAATAGACGAGCCTGTGCTGAAGGTCTATATATAAAGGAAGATCTGGATGTAATCAAGAAAGGTACCATTTTGATACGTTTTCTTAGAATTATTTTCCAAAACATGCTGTTTGTTTGTTTTTTGCTGTCTCCAACAAGAAGCACTTTTTAAAAAGAGGGTAATAGTTAGCATCTTAAAAAGCAGAGACATCACCTTGCCAACAAAGGTCCGTATAGTTAAAGCTATGGTTTTCCCAGTAGTGATGTATGGAAGTGAGAGCTGGACCATAAAGAAGGCTGATCGCTGAAGAATTGATGCTTTTGGATTATGGTGCTGGAGGAGACTCTTGAGAGTCCCATGGACTGCAAGAAGATCAAACCTATCCATTCTTAAGGAAATCAGCCCTGAGTGCTCACTGGAAGGACAGATCGTGAAGCTGAGGCTCCAATGCTTTGGCCACCTCATGAGAAGAGAAGACTCCCTGGAAAAGACCCTGATGTTGGGAAAGATGGAGGGCACAAGGAGAAGGGGACGGCAGAGGACGAGATGGTTGGATAGTGTTTTTGAAGCTACCAGCATGAGTCTGACCAAACTGCGGGAAGCAGTGGAAGACAGGAGTTCCGGGCCTGCTCTGGTCCATGGGGTCATGAAGAGTCGGACACGACTAAACGACTAAACAACAATAGTTAGGATTACCCCATCCCTATGTTTCAGCCACACTAAGCCAACCAGGAGACCAGAACTCCCAAAACTTTAACAATACAATAGAGTATAAAAATTTGGCAGATGCGGCTTTTCACACCTTGTATGACAATCTGCACTTGCCAAAATTCCCTTTTACCAGTGATGTTGGGTGCCCATTTAGAGTGGTAGGGTGCAGCCAGAGCCAATGACAGACAGAGCCAATTAATTCTATTTTTCTCCTCCCTGCTGATTTCTACAAAGACCACACTGAGACTAAGGAGGAGAAAGCTGACAGCCAGCCAGTGCCATTCTCTGGACTGGTTGTAAGTAGGAGTGTAAGAAGGCATTTTTCTCCATCCTGTCTTTAAAAAATACAGCACTGTTTCCATTCTGCTGCAGTTTACCTTCATCTCACTGTCCACTGTGGACTGTGGAATGAAAATAACAACAACAGCGAATATGGGTTTTATTCTCCAGACTGATGCTGGTGCAGACATGGGACAAATAAGTGAACATCTTGGCTGTGAATCCTAGAAAACCTGCTCCCTGCCTTGCTGGCCTTTTCCACCTGGCCTGGGAGGGGAGGGCCCTGACTGACTCCAGCTAAAAAAGCTAGGCTGCTGAAGACACCAGAGATCATCTTGGTTGTCTCTTAGCACAGATCTAGATCATCAAGCTCAACTTCCACAGCTGCCACCCACCAAGAACAGGATTGGCAGCAACAGCAGCAGATGTGTTCTATGCTTCAGATAATATTTCATTCTCTTGCTAATTATGCTGTTTTAAATCTGCAATTCATCTTTTACTTTATTCAGTAATCTCCCCCCCCCCCCCGGATTGTTTTATTTGATGTTTTAATGCGTTGTAAACCACTTTGAGATTTTCTCTTTAAAATACAGTGGTACCTCGCAAGACGAATGCCTCGCAAGACGGAAAACTCGCAAGACGAAAGGGTTTTTTGTTTTTTGAGCTGCTTCGCAAGACGATTTTCCCTATGGGCTTGCTTCACAAGACGGAAACGTCTTGCAAGTTTGTTTCCTTTTTCTTAACACCGTTAATACAGTTGCGACTTGACTTCGAGGAGCAACTCATAGCACGCAGTGTGGTAGCCTTTTTTGAGGTTTTTGAAGACTTTGGTGATTTTTGAAGCTTTTCCAAAACTTTTCCGACACCGTGCGCCACAAGACGAAAAAAATCACAAGATGACAAAACTCGCGGAACGAATTAATTTCATCTTGCGAGGCACCACTGTATAAAGCGGTTTAGAAATGAAACCATTCACCACCATCTTCCATTTTCATCATAATTCTCTGATGTCCCTAGCTGTAAGGCTTGGAGGACTCCTGCCTGAGTTTGGTGGGACAGTGTCCCACTTACCCTAATGGGCAATGCTCCACTGCCTCCCATATAACCATTCACTTAGTACAGGCGTTCCATCTTGCTTTGCCTCCGGTCCCTTCAAGGAGCACTTTTATAACTGGACAACTCACGAGACCTACATAATTCACGGATGAGCAAAAAGATTGATATTGGGGGGGGGGTCTGGAAGGCAATACACCACATTTTAAACAATGAGTGCTGGGTCTAGCGACTGGTATCATATTCTTTACAGGGATAATAGCCTGGAAAGTATAACCAGCTGTGTAAGTACTATCTAGATTGCTGTGAATACAGTTGGCTATAGGGGAAGAAAAATGTGGGAGGTCAGGGAGGAGAGGGAAAACTAATCTCCTAAACTCTATAAAATGAGAAAATTTGTTTGAATAATGACATTTAATGTGATGGCTGCAAATAGATAGATGATAGATAGATAGATAGATAGATAGATAGATAGATAGATAGATAGATAGATAGATAGATAGATGATAGATAGATAGATAGATAGATAGATAGATAGATATAGATAGATAGATATAGATAGATAGAGATGATAGCCAGACAGACAGACAGACAGATGAGAGAAATATGTCAAAAGGCACAAATTCCTCAACTTAAGGAAATGAAGGTGAATGTATTGTGCTGATAACATTGCTGTGGTAATTCTGAGTCATAAAAGTAGAGAACTGCCGTAATCATAATAAATTCCCTTTAAATGTTTCCTACTTCATACTTTGTGGGACGCGGGTGGCGCTGTGGGTAAAACCTCAGTGCCTAGGACTTGCCGATCGCATGGTCGGCGGTTCGAATCCCCGCGGCGGGGTGCGCTCCCGTCGTTCGGTCCCAGCGCCTGCCAACCTAGCAGTTCGAAAGCACCCCCGGGTGCAAGTAGATAAATAGGGACCGCATACCAGCGGGAAGGTAAACGGCGTTCCATGTGCTGCGCTGGCTCGCCAGATGCAGCTTGTCACGCTGGCCACGTGACCCGGAAGTGTCTGCAGACAGCGCTGGCTCCCGGCCTATAGAGTGAGATGAGCGCACAACCCTAGAGTCTGGCAAGACTGGCCCGTACGGGCAGGGGTACCTTTACCTTTACCTTTTTACTTCATACTTTAGTCATTAATGTGTCCAGAACAGATATTCAGTAGTGGCTGTCTGAATTCTGCCCCTCAACTGGAATCTAAGGCTGCAATTTTAACCCCAATTACCTGGGAGTAAGCCCCACTGAATTCAATAGGACTTATTCCTCTTAGCATGATTTGGATTGTGCTGTATGATGGCAAGTTGACCATCCATGGAAGGACTTTAGCCTCTAGGAATTTTGCAAACGACTGCATATTAAAAGTCCACATACACGTTGTACATGTATAAATTGGGTCTTTGTCAAAACATTAACCTCCTATCAGCGGCGGAGCATATGCCTGCGCTGCCCAGGGCGGGCGCGCTCCTGAGGGGGGTGGGGAGGGTGCCCTCCCAAGCGTGGGATAGCCGCTTGGGTGTACGGAGCAGTGTGCGTGCCCTGCAGCCAGGGGCAGAGAGCGCCGTCCATGGGGCGGAGCAAGCTGCCAATGCCGGACATTTGGTACTCCGCCTACCTGCGACTCCCAAGCCTCCCCCGAGCTGTCAAAACAAAGGAGGAAGGGGGGAAATCCACCAGCAAAGCGGCGCAGCTCCCACCTTCCCCCAATGGCTTGGGGTAGGCTTGGGAGTCGCGGGCGGGTGGTGCACCAAATGTCACCCCCCTCAGCAAAAACACCCAGGGCGGTATACCCCCACCACACCCCTTCCTCCGCTCCTGCCTCCTATGGTACTGCCTACACCAGAATCCATGTGCATGTATGAGGACAAGTCCATGAATATTGTGTTTTGTTTTGTTTTTTAAGATCTACAGTGGTACCTCGGGTCACAGACGCTTCAGGTTACAGGTGCTTCAGGTTACAGACTCCGTTAACCCAGCAATAGTACCTCAGGTTAAGAACTTTACCTCAGGATGAGAACAGAAATCGCACGGCGGTGGCACGGAAGCAGCGGGAGGCCCCATTAGCTAAAGTGGTGCTTCAGGTTAAGAACAGTTTCAGGTTAAGAACGGGCCTCCAGAACGAATTAAGTTCATAACCAGAGGTACCACTCTACACAGAGACAAGACATATATTCACACCAAGTCTGCAGGGAGGAATGCGAGACTTTTGAAACAAGACTTGTCCATGGTGGATTTCCCACAAGGCCCTATTTTATTGGGCTGTGTTTTCACACAACTTAAACTACGAAAATTCTTTCCTAGGTGTAAAAATGCATCCACAACGATGCAAATTGTTGACTATATTTGGGATTTGCAGACATTGCTCCTGCAGTTCACATCTTAACTCCGCCATGACCACACTAGTCACTATGTGGCCTTAGGGAAACCATGACCTCTCAGTCTGAGTCCCTCCCACAACTGGCAAAGCAGGACAATAACACCAAATGGCCCATTTACTGGTTTGCTTTAAGGATTGCAGAAATAATGCATGTGAAATGCTTGGAATACTCAAAGATATAGCTGCTAAGTATTATTATTAGCAAGCTTGAAAAGGCTGCAAAGACAGGTTTCTGAGGCTGCCTCAGAATTAGCACAGTTTGCTTGCTTCCTGCCTACTCAGCCTGTACACTGGTAAATATATTGTTCTTCTGCTTTTTTTCTTGTGTTTGAATGTGTATATGTTTTAAATCACGCAGAAGATTCTTTTAGATACATATGACAGGAAGCAAATTTTAGAAACGAAAGGTAACAAACAGGTACTACAAAAACACCATACGATTCCAACCCTAGGAATAATGACATGAAAGTAAGTTGTGTTGACGATAATGGGATTTCATTCCCAGTAAACTCACACAGGATTACCCTAGAACCTCCAGTACTTTCTCCTCATAAGGAAATTGAACCTGGAAAAGGCTGCCCCATTCATATGGGACTGGCAAACAATATTATCACCTTCCAGACTTTGGGGAAAGGGCCATTGGAGCTCTGGGGTGGAGAGGGTGACAGGGAGAGAAATGAAAAGCAAATAGAAAAGGCTGTGAGATGACTGGCAAAATGAATGTCCATTTAGTACAAACATGAATAATGGGCATTCTGTGAAAAAGACAAATGGTACTTATATTCTTTTGCAGTTCCCACTAAAAGGTTTTGGGGTGTTTTTTTAGTAAAAGCTAGTATTTCCATTTAACAGCAACAAGAAACCTCTCTCACACATGCTATCTAATCAATTTGGCACTTTGAGAAAGAAGCAGCATTTGCTTCGATTTATCTCTTACCATAGGAGCCAACTCCTAGAGGCTGAGGGGTCTTCAGCCACCCCAATAAAGTATTTTGAGCCCCCCACCCCATTGATGGCCATTACCATTCAAATGGTTGCATGAACCACATCATGTGACCAATTATGTGGGGCGGGGCTTACCTTCCCCCCCCCCATTTTAATTCAACTTGGCACCCCTGTCCCTTCTTGCCCTGGCTCCACCTCCTCCTTTCCCTTTCATCTAAATTTAGTGTGTAAGCTCCTTCAGGCAGAGACCTGCCTTCTGCTCATGTTTCTCTGTAATGTACTATGTGTACTACCTGTGCTAAATAACAACATTTGCATTTGTTATTTGTTATGATGAGTGAGATCATCATAATTTCGCTTAATTACTCAAGTCTTCTCAAAGACAAGGCTGTTGATCAGAAGATGGCAATACTAAGATGAGTCACTGGCTAACCAGTGCAGCTTATTTTATTTTTTCTCTCCTTTCCAAGTCCTTTGCTTAATACACACAAACACAAACAAAAGTATTTCAAACATGCTTAAAGAACACAAGGCAGTGGTTTAATTTTAGTACCTAAGATGCATCTCTCTGTTGTTGCAAGCAGTCTCAGTTCAAGCACTTACGTTTGATTTGAATAAATTGCACTTACCTGAACTGTTAGTACAAAGAAGGAGGGACACTATAATAAAAGCAGGAAGCCCCATCCTCGCAACCACATCTGCGGCTGGATCTCTTGCTTTTCATAGGCAAACAACTTCCATCCAAAGATACGAGTTTAGACACAGTGATTCTACTGTAAACTGTGATGGCTAATAGGCTGGAAACAGGAAGAATAGCATTTGAGCCTTATCTTGCACCACAGCGAAGCTTCTTAAAGTACACTTCATTGATTTTCGGTCAGCTGTCACAGGCTGCAAGCCAAAAATAAGAATAATCCCTGGGTCCTAAACTCTGCCTCGTTGCTTATCCAGGATAACCAAGGTACTGTTGAAAGCTAAATTCAAAGAACACCTAGGACAGAGCCAAGCAACTTAGAACCTGATTTGAATTCCATAAATGTCTGGTCGTAATCTCTTTGCTATTTGATAAGTAATGGGAAGTGCTCCTCCAGCTGTTCAAATACGTTCACTGCAGCACACCCCTGCTCTATGGGAATCGTAAAGTGTGATGCCCTTGATGGCAAAACAGACTAAGACTGTAGCATGGAGATGGGGGAACTGTGGCACTGCGGACGTTGTTGGACTCCAAATCCCATCAAAGCATTTCCAAAAGCGAGGTGATGATGGGAATAGTAGTCCAGGGGAACAGGTATCCGGAGCTAGCTTTCGGATAACAAAGGAAGGGTCAGGCTCTGTAGGATCTGGGGGTGTTCCTAGGAAAGGCAGGTATCCGTCCAATAAAGTCCAGCACTAAAGTGAGCCCTAGCAGGACTGTGTGACAGCTAAAGACCCACCCCTCAATATAATAATAATAATAATTTATTATTTGTACCCTGCCCATCTGGCTGGGTTTCCCCAGCCACTCTGGGCAGCTACCACAAAGACCAAAAATACACTAAGATGTCACACATTAAAAACTTCCCTGGACAGGGTTGCCTTCAGATGTCTTCTGAATGTCAGGTAGTTGTTTATCTCTTTGACATCTGATGGGAGGGTGTTCCACAGGGCGGGTGCCACTACCGAGAAGGCCCTCTGCCTGGTTCCCTGTAGCTTTGCTTCTTGCAATGAGGGAACTGCCAGAAGGCCCTCGGCGCTGGATCTCAGCGTCCAGGCAGAACGATGGGGGTGGAGACGCTCCTTCAGGTATACTGGGCCGAGGCCGTTTAGGGCTTTAAAGGTCAGCACCAACGCTTTGAATTGTGCTCGGAAACGTACTGGGAGCCAATGTAGGTCTTTCAAGACTGGTGTTAGGTGGTCTCGGCGGCCACCCCCAGTCACCAGTCTAGCTGCCGTATTCTGGATTAGTTGTAGTTTCCGGGTCACCTTCAAAGGTAGCCCCACGTAGAGCGCATTGCAGTAGTCCAAGCGGGAGATAACTAGAGCAATGTTTTGGGTAATGTATGTTTGTTGTGGTACCAATGGGTGCCCTCTGCTATGTCCAGTGGGGCTTCTAGGGGAGGAGATGACTTTGCATGGTAGGTGCATTGATTCTGACCGCGGAGATGAAAATTCTAAGCCACCACTCCCAGGTTCAGAGTGTGGTCACGTCCTCCTTCTCTTCCTCAGAGAGCACAATGGGAAATTCCCCTCTTGCTCTCAGCTTCAAGGGCCCCGAGGAGGCAGGCCATTGGCTTCAGGGTCATCATCACAAGCAGTTGTTGCCAAAGAGGCCTGTGAACGGGCACCAACAATCATAATCCGTTCAGATACCATCTTATTTGACTTCTTTGTCTGTAGCGGCCCACAGATATGCCTTTATTAAGGCAAGATTTAACGCCTTTCCTTCCAATGTCTTGAATAATAGATTTTCCAATGGTCGGATCTCAGCGGTGTGTGTATGTGATAATAGATCTATAGAATCTTTACAACATATACTATTCTGTTGTTCACTACATTCAGTTTCTCAGATCAGATTTTTGTCTCCTTTATTATTGGAAATCTCAGGTGACTCCTTGGAAACACAGCTAATACATTTATTGCAAGATTCTGATCCGAGTAGGTCCCTTTCTGTTGCCAGATTTCTGATAACAGTATTAGCCTATAAAAGGAAAAATGGATTACTCTATGATTATTGATTTTGCCTAAATAATATTGATTTATACTGATAATTTGATATTCTAAGCGCTATATTGTTCTTATTTTAATGGAATTTAGAAACTTATGGTTTGAGATGTATTTGATTTAAACGTAATTTAATTTATTAATTTTATCTTGTTATACCTGTTTTGCTGTATGATGTGTTGAATATGGGCCTATGGCTGTAATAAACTATCTATCTATCTATCTATCTATCTATCTATCTAATCATAATCCGTAACATTCAGTTAATAACTAATTAGCATTTCACAGATGTAAAAGAGGGGCATGCTTGTAAAAATCCCAGTTTTCATACCATGATCATCGCTGCCTTGCGGGGACCTCCCCACAACTCTGCTCCACTATTAGAGCAGGATTTGTTCCACCTGCTGTTGTCATTTAATGCCAACAGAAAGAGAACGCAGAGGATCTTGTGGGGCAGGGCACTCCAAAGTCTGGGCATAGTACAAAGGCGCCAACTTGCCCACCACATTGGGGAGCGCATCACGTGACACGTTACGTGATGCCACGTGACACATCTGCCCCAGTGGGATGTGCCATGGAGAGAAGGAGGTGGAGCGCAGCGCTGGGTTCCACCACTTGGTCTCCTCCCCACAGCATTCGCCGGGGGGGGGGTGTTGTGCGGAGAGCGATCTTCATCCTCGTTCATCCCAGCCCCTTACTAGCTCCCTGGTGGGGGCTTGGGCACCAAGAGAACAACTGGTGGTGATGGGTGATGTTGGCCCCCTCAATATTGGGGGGGGGGGCTAGGGCCCCTGATTCAAAATATTGAGGGGGCTGGAGCCCCTAGCACCTCCTATATCAGGCACCGGTGGCACAGCAATAGCGAAAGCTTTAATGCGCATTTTTCGTATAGAAATTCAGGTACAATGGTACCTCAGGTTACAGACGCTTCAGGTTACAGACTCCACTAACCCAGAAATAGGTTAGTGATAAGTATGTTAGTGATAAATAGGTTAGTGATAAGTAATTTCGTTGTCCCCGAGAGGGGGCAATGACAATAAAGATTTATTATTATTATTATTATTATTATTATTAAATAGTACCTCCGGTTAAGAACTTTACCTCAGGATGAGAACAGAAATCGCGTGGCGGCAGCGGGAGGCCCCATTAGCTAAAGTGGTACCTCAGGTTAAGAACAGTTTCAGGTTAAAAACGGACCTCTAGAACAAATTAAGTTCTTAACCCGAGGTTCCACTGTATTAGGACATGCAACAAGGTCTGTCTCCCAAACATTTCAGAGAAGAGTCAGAGGCAGTGTTGAAGCTGCAATCATATATCCAGTTACCTGGGGGTAAACCCCATTGGCAAACATGCAGAACATTGTTCTGTAAATCTAATAACCAGCACTTTGAACTGACTCCAGGCATGAACCGGGAACCAATGAAGATGGTAAAGCAGTTGAGTCACAGATTCCCAATAACTGGTCCGAAGCCAGCGATAGTTTCTTTGAAGCTGGAATTCTCCTTCAGTCAACTCCTTCTAAGACACACCCGTCATTTGGACAATTCCAAAGGACTTTCATTTGCTAACCTCACTACCTGCAAAACAAACTCTAGTGTTGCACTTTTGGAACTCGCCATTCTCACCTGCAATTGAAGAATGGGTTGCAGTTGATGACCTTTTTTTAGCTTTGCCCACTAAATAACACGTTATGTGCCACAGGAGTATTATTTGGGAACACAAACTTCAACGCATTTGGCAACCATTTTCAGAAATGTTCTTTAAGTGAGCTTTAATCTTTTGCTTGATCTTGCTCATTTGGCAAAAAAAGGCCCCTGCCCCAGCTCCATCATGCACACACACCTTTTCTTGTGTTTTCTTTTCTTCTTGGGTTCAGTGTTCCTTGCTTCTTTCCCTTAATTATACTCAGTAGGGGGGTTTGTCAACCCTCAGTATGCAGTGGGAGGCTCTGCACACTGAGGAGATAATAGCATTGCTGCTTTTTTCTGATAAAACTGTAGAAATTTATGTTAATCTCCTGTTTGAAATTCAATAAAAATGTTAATAACAAAAATAGTTGGGTTTGCCTTTGCTTTCTTTCCAGCTAGAGCTGTAAAAATATTATTGTGTTCTTGGCATGACCTTCTGTACTGTTCTCAGGGAAACAGTGCTTTATGTTTGATGGTCTTGTGCAAATCTCTTTAAAATGAAGGTTTATTGCTCCCCTTTCACCCCAATAGACCAAAAATATCTACTCATCTTCTTGTCAAACTCTTCTTTCTTTCTTTTTTACTTCCCCTGTCACTGAAACAAAGTTTTATCAACAGAGTTATATGGTGGCCCTTTTAGAATTTGGCACAAATGAGGATTTGCTCTGAGTTGTTCTATCAGAAGCACACACTTTTCACGAGCTCATTTAAAGGAGCAGCCCCCCAGCTGATCACAAGAGAAGGTTATTACCCCAAAATGAAAAGCTGCCACCAACATGAGCAGGGATGGGGAGCTTGCGGCTATGTAGATGTTGTTCAACTACAACAGGAATGGGGAACTTCAGGCATGGGGAACTTCAAGTTAATAAAGACTCCAGGCGTAAATGTGTGTACAATAACTATCTTCCTTAAAGACAATAGCCTCCGCTGTGCCTCGATTTTCCCTATGGAAACACAACACTGGGTGAGCGCCTGGGCCCTCCTGGAAATTTGGTCACCACTTGGCAGAGATTGGGGTGTGTGCAACCTTTGTTACATTATATGCACTGTTCCCATCACAAGCAAGTGACCTCCTGCAATTTTGTCAGGTTGGAAAAAGTCTTCCCATCCCTATTGGCCAGGACTGCTGGAGATGATGGGCGGGAGGTGGACATAATCTCCCCCACCCCTCCACTAGAGGATGGACAGGAGAGCAAGCTGGGGCTGCACTTATTACAAACAGCAGATCAGATCCTCTCAAACATTCTGTTCTCTTTTTACGCAGAAAAGGGAATGACAAGGACAGAAACGGAACCACAACTAAATTTTGGACTTTTCTGTCCCTGTGGCGATTAGCAGGACTCGGCGTCAGGGGAATGTTTCGACAGACTCTCCGAACCGTTGGCCTAACCCCAAATTCGGCTTGACAGCACTGACTGCTCATAATCTTGTAGCAGTTAACAGCTGGCCTCCTGGTGGCAGAGCTCTCTCAACAGATCTCACACACGCCGTCTACATGGGCCTGACATCCAGAGTCTGCCCGTTTGCTGAGTATGGAATTGGACGTGACAGGAGATAACACAGACGTCTGTATGTGTGCTCGGCTCACGTGAGATTATGGCGGAACCTCTGGTTTTAGGCAAAGCTGCTTGGTAGAAGAAAATAAACGAAA